AAAGTCATACAATTTTCATTTAATGTTTATTAATCAGTTTTTTTCGGAGATTTTTCAAGAGAATTCAACAAAAAGTAGTTTAAAATGACATGGACAAGGTGGCCTTCCAATTTCAAAATATTGGTTGAAGGATCATTGCCATATTTTTTTCAAACGAGAAAAAGATCAATCTTTTGAAGTTTATCGAGGAAAAAAATCATTTCCAGTTATTTTTAAAAAAATATTGAAAATATATATCATGGACTTCCAACGATCCGAAATTCATGAAACAATTACTTATTTAAAAAAAGAAAACCTAGAAATAATATAAAAAAATTGCAAAATTGATGCAAAAAGGGAAAAAAATAAGCTTTGTTTTTTTCTTCTGCGCCTTTGAAAAATGAAACAAAAATTTTTAAATTTTGACTCAAAAAAATTTCCATGACTTGAAACCATTTTTTTCTAAAATAAGAAATGAACAGCTTCGAAAAATAGAAAATAAAAGTGGATCTCTCAGAAAAAATGGGTGAATGCCCTTAGAACCATTGGAAAATTTCATGGTCCTGCGCCGGAAGATACAGCGCGGCGAGAGTCACGGCGAGTCGGGCGCAGGAAAAGAGCGGGCTGATTGTGAGGCGTCACTATTTTCAAGGCAAATGAAGAATCTTGACGACCCGATCCACCGTGTGGGTTTCAATGAGCTTTTTAACACAGATGCCTCGATCTCTTAATCGATAGTCAATTGAAAAATCAATAAATTACAGTATCCTTTCTGGTAGTCGTTTCAGACTTCTTTTTGAAGTTATTAAAGGCGCAGAAGTCTCGCATTAACGACACCGAAAAACGGCTCTTCGCTTCGAGACCATCATATTTTTTTCGGATATGCTACTTTGATATAGTAACCTATTTTTTTAAGGGACGATATCCAAATATTTCAAATAGACCGTCTTCTAAAAAGTACTGTAAAACTCCAAAGATCAACCTTGAGAAAAAAAACCAACAGAATAAAACTTAAAAAGAAAAATTCCAGTTCAAAATATCTACTTTGAAAGCAAATCAACCAACAAAACCCATTGAAAAAAATTTCAGATTCAAAGTTTTACTCCAAATAATGAAAAAAATAATACTATCAAACATGAGATCCGTCGATTTCTCGAAATGTAAAACCATGAGCAACAAAAAAAAGAACTACTGTCACAAAGCTGCAAAATATGTATAGTAACAATGGGAAAATGAACCGGATTTAATTTTTGAAAAAAAAATCAAGTTGGAAAAAAAAGAATCGTGAAATACCGAAGGAAATCTACACGTTTTTCTGTGAAGCAAAACTAAGCTCTATAAACATTGGAAAAAATTCAACCGCGGCTCAGTTTCAATATTTATAACAAGTTTTTTTAAAGAGCTTATTTAAAAATGAGAAGCGGCTGAATTCCCAAAAAAAAAGCGATTTTACAAGTTCTAAGAACTTTTCAAATTTCTAAAAGCTCAAAATTCAGGAAGAGAAGTGGAAAAAATGGAAAAAAAAAATCAACTGCCGCTGAGATTTCTTATAAATTCTCAGCTCTGTAATGACAAACTTTACATAAGAAAAAGCAGCCGCGGGTAAATTTCACAGGAAAAATCGAATAGTTACTGTTTGACCAGTGAACAGTTTGAAGACTTGAAAATACAAATGTTGGAAAAATTGAGCCAATTCGACGTTTTTCTCAGAAAATTTCAATATTCACTCATTTTTCTCCCTTTTCGTAGGAATTCCAGAGTGGTCCCTATAGAGGTAAAATTAAGGTGGTCCTTATAGGGGTTTAGAGTCTAACTCCTGAGCCCCTAAAGCTCAAGTGGACCCTAAAGGGGTCTCTCCATTTCATTCAATTTAACTGAAACCCTTATAGAGACCACTTTTGCAAACTTTAGTGGCCCCTTTAGGGGTTAGTAAAGTAGTCCCTAGAGTAGACCCTCCAAGGGTCTCCGCCTCTATAGGGGTCACTCTGGAGTTCCTAAGGCTACTTCTCGTTAATAAAGCAGCAAGGTATCACTAAAGGGATAAAGGATGAGAGAATGAGGACTCAAAAAAAAGAATCAATGAGGAAATATGAAAGAGGGCCAAATTTTCCGGGGAGAACTCAGTCGCTGTCGCTGTTGTTCTCGACGGCCAGACAAGCCCGACTGGCCGTCGATCCTCGAGCCAAAGGAGCCGTCCCCAGCATTCCCGCCGGCCGACCGTCGCACGCCACGATTTTCAGCCTGGAAGTCGAGACAAATTCACATTTTCTTGGAGAGAAAAATGAAAAATTCGTTTCTTCGTGATCTAAAAGACAAGGCGTTGTTGTTAGTGCAAGAAAATGCGAAACCAAAAACGAATGGGGCGGAGCAAAAATGCTCCGTTCCCATGTGACGTCATGGGAAACAAGCGTAAACAGGGAATATTAAAGGCGCATGTTCACTGGGTCATGAGGCGAATAGTTAAGAGAACGCGATTTTTGGGTTTTCGTGTTCAAAATGAATACGCCAAATTCTAAATAGCCGCCAGAAAGTGAAAAATACAACTGAATTACGGATATTCAGAGATAATTTTGAATTTCGTGAAAATTATTTTGAACACGGTATGTGCGAGAGCGCCGCAGTGCATGCACACTAAACACTATACTTCACGGGAAAAAAAAATGAAAGGGCGTCGTCAAAAAAAAGCGCTGTGAAGAAACTATGCCAACTTACATCTTTCTAGTGATCACTTAAGAAGAAAACTACTTCGTTTTTTAGCGCCAGAAACTTTCGAGTTACATCCAGTAGAAATTCTAAGCCGATTCCCGAAAAAAGCTTCAAACCGTACCAAAATCTCACATTATACTCCAAATTTACATAGGAATTTAAAAAAACGCCTTTTTCAACATTTCGAAATGACAAACTTAGACAAGGCGGTGTCGAAAGAACGATGAGGGTCCCGAATTTCGACCTCGTCAAGGATAAACGTCCAAACGTTGTCGCAATAACGATACGTGATCAATTTTCCGGCCCGGAAGTGCATCTGGAAAAAATTCGACTATCCCAAAAAAATCGCTTATATTCCTTTTCTAACCTAGTTTAGAACAAAAATACTGTTTCACGAAGATTTTCTGAATGATTCAAATTTAAATTCGCTTAAATTTCTCCACCTTTTTCCAGCTCAAAAATGGATCTAAGAAATTTAATTAAATTCATGTTTTATTGAAAATTCTCGAATTCCTTTTTCAACCTAATTTCAATTTATTCAGTCTTCAGAGGAAGATGTAGAAAAACCTAATTTGTTAAAATTTTTCTGACAAAAAAACCTTTCAACCTAATTTTTAAGTGAATACAGTTGCACGTAATTATGATTAAATCTATATTTCATTTTTTTGGAATAGTTTCAATTAAAAATTTCTTTAATATTTTCGACTGAAATTTTTTTGAAAAATTCTTGAAAGTCAAATAGTAATGGAGAACTTGATGAAATCATATGAATTTGCCTCGAAAATAATTTTTTTAAAGAAATTACATGTGAAGAATGAATTTTTGGCTCAAAAAAATCTTCGTTTGCCTTGAATTTCACAAGACTACTTCAGAAATATTTAAAAAGTACATATTTTCTAGAGAAATGAAAAAAAAACCTTTTCTTTGGCGAGACGGGAGAGCATTTTATTGATGCTCTTGTCGAACTGGGTGAGAACCTGGAACGAAAACAGTGAGAAAGAAAAAAAAACTTTTTTAAAAAATTTTCCTCCTCAAATCAAGGTTAGAAACTGTCGAAGAAATTTTAAAAACCAATTTATAAGTTTTTCTCATTGAAAAACTAAGTATCAACTATTTATCGGTAAAAACTAAGCGATACATTAAAAGTTAGTTCATATTTCCTACCTATAAATAAGAATCATAAATCAATAGTTTCTTGAAAAATTCCTTTTACGGATTTCAATAAGAAAACAGAAAGGACAGTTTTATAGATAAAATATTGAAAATCTAGAAAAAAACCGCTCAAAAAAAACAGTAATAATTTTTATTATGAGGTAAAAAAATTTCATTCGGAAGTCAAAAATTCTTATTTTTGAGAAAAAAAAACTCTTTTTTTCAGGTTTTGGAAAAAAATTCCGAGTTTTTCCAGCAAAAAAATCGGGACATTTTGAAAAAAATCCACCTTCTTCCTCCATCAACTTCTTAGCAGTACATCTCGAGACAGCTTCTATCTAATTATTATGAAGTAACCATGTGAAAGAACGAAAGTAGTTAAAAAAACACATAATAACTACAAAAAAAAGAAAAGAACTATTTAAAAGCAGTTTTCGGATGAAATAAATTTTTGCGTTGCTCCGTTTCTACCATGACCACATCATAAAATACATTTTAAGAATCTAAAAAAACCTTGGAGGCCAATTGTTTGGGCACAAGGCCCTCGGCGATCATATCCTCTAGAGTTTGGTCCAAAGCGACGCCAAGCGTCGTATTCCTGTACATTGCGTAAGCGGCCATCTTCTGAAATCTGTGTCTTTATTGCCGTGTTCGAAGTGATTCCGAGAAATTCGAAAAGCCGTCAGAGAATGGAAAAAATCACTAAACTCTAGAGAGACAGAAGTGATTTTGCATTCCACGAAAATTACTTTGAACTTGGCACAATAAGTGAAAATAAAGTAGCAAAAATGACAGACAAATTGAACAAACCACAATAAAAAAATAACTAATTAAGTAATCGAATGACTAATAATTACACGAATCTCATCAAAACTCTATTCTGGAAATGAAATAAATCAATTCATCCTTCTAAAATCATCTTCAAATGAACTTTTAATGCACATTTTCTAGATAACTTGATAATGAAAGATAAAGCCACCTAAACTAATTGAAAATTAATCAAATTTGAAGTATCGATGAGCAAAACAAAAACAAAGAAGTAAAAAACACTTTTCGAAAAAATGTGCGTTGGCGCGCATTTACTGAAACTTTTGGCGGTTTTTCGAAAAACCCTCAAAAACATTCAGAAATTTCAAGTGGTTTACTTATACTAATGAGGGAAAATTTGACGATTTTTCAAAGAAAAAATATACTGAAACTCGAGCAAAACATTTTCCATTAGGTTTTTTTTAGATCTGAAGCGTTCAAAAAAATGAAGATTGAAAAGTAAATTTGAATTTTTTAAAAGAATGTTTCCATAATAATATTTCTTTGCCTACTACTTTTTTATACTTCGTGAGATTATCACACTGGCGAACTATATACACATTTTTCTTCGAAAAATGCAAGCGGAAAAACTCAAAATCGAAATTGACTCCATGAAGCGCAGAATTCAATCGTTATATCCTTATATTTTTTTAATGAATTCCGAATGTGTTTGAAAACTGTTTTCGAGCTTCTTCGCACAAGGAAGCTCATAAAAAAACTAGCCTTACTTGATAAAAAGATGAATAAAATAAGAAAGATTAAAATAAAAATCTAGATAAAACCGTAAAAATCCTTGGACAAAAAAGACGATGACAGTTTTGCGCGGGATTTCTAATGTCCTTTGTGCAAGCGTGTCTGCACACAAGCATTTTATTGGACGACAGTTTCGATTTTTCGTAATCACTAAGAATAACTGACGGCGGTACATTGACTAACTCGCAAAAATGTCGCTTTTTTCTAGGCGCGATCCAGCATTTCTCTCGGCGCGACCTCGCATTTTTCACGGCGCCATCTCGCATTTATCTTGCATTTCGGAAATTTTCAAATTGCGAGAGAAATGCGAGCTCGCGCCTAGAAAAATGCGAGCTCGCGCCCAGAAAAATGCGAGACCTGCGCGAGAAAAAAAGCGAGATGTTTGCGAGCTCGTCAATGTACCGCCAGTGTCTCGCGTTTATCTCGGCAGTTATTCTTAGTGATTTTCGCTTGTTTTCATTGAAGAAAATGATCGATCCGAGTGTTTCTAACAAGGTTTCAAATACCCTATAGGTATCACTCAACTTGTTTCGTTTTATGGTACACCTTCAACGGGCAAAAAAATTATAATATAAGTATTTGCTTTCTCAACTTGAAACCAATAGAGAAACACGATGAAAAAAACCGTTTTATAGAAAATATAGATATTTTTTTGCAATGGAATAAGGCATAGGAACAGAATCACAAGGGTCTCAAAGAATCATCATATCACAAGAAGGCCAAGTTCACAACCACAAAGAAAAATCCCGAAAATAAATGAAGGTTACTTTTTTTTGGAGGGTAAATATGATAGGAAGAAGCTAAACAAATTTCAAGAAGAAGCAAAAAAGTATGTGCAGAGGCAATCACCAGGAAACCGAAGACAAGAGTAATAAATTAATGAAACTTTAAAATATATACATTTCTCTTTTTGTTAGAATCTGGGAGCTCTTATTATTAATAGGGTACTTAAAATGGGAAAAATATGCACATTAGGTCAAAAAATGAAAAAAAAATAATAATGTTTTTTTCAAGAAATTAGGCAGACAGGAGGGCTTTGTTCGATCCGTCACACGCGACAAACTTCACACGGTTCACCTAAAAAGTATTCTTTGGAAATTTCATTTTGAGACATTTCGAATGTTCTGAAAGCAGAATTTCGTGTTTGAAGAAGTTTAGTAGAATGAAAAACTACAGATAATGCTCTCACAAAAATTTTTACTTTTTTCAAGCTGAAAAAGTTCGAAAATTATAAGACTATTAGCTCGGACCCTGGTAACGAGGAAAGAAAAAGCTTGAGGCATTCCTAGTGACCACTTTAGCGGCGCCAGCACACTTAAAGTGATCCCTAGACTTTCTCAGAAAACCTCCGGTCTACCGTACGAGCTTCTATGTAAAGTTTATTCAGTTCGAAACATTTTTTAAAGGCGCATGAGTGAGCTTAAAACTTGTCCTGTTCGGAAAAAAGGATTATCGTTGAATACTCAGTCAAGACAGCTTCCAGGTCTTGAAAAAAACACAGAAAGTTATTTTTTTAATTAGATAAATTTTTCTGAAAAAAACAGCTGAGCTCTAAGAAATCATGATAAAAAGCCGTATGTTTAGCTCAATCTAGAACCTAATTCAAAATTCAAAATTAAATCAATCTTTTTTTTCTTGGTAATTCCTGTAGATGATCACTAAAACGCTCAGAATGTCATTATCTTCTATTTTTTGAGCCAATATAGCCACTGGCCAAAAAGTCCAAAGCTTAAATTTCTTGAAAATCATCCATCTTTCTGTTACATTTTTCTTCTTCAGCCCGACTCTGGCCAATTTTTGCTTCCCTCCGGTCTACAGTACTCTTCTCTTTGATGCGCGTGGCCTGTCTCTGTGCATGCGCCTTTAATTTGGCCTATATTAAAGGCGCATGCAGAGCCACAGGCCGCGCTGTTCGAAAAAGGGCTCCCTAGCTCGAAGAAAATAAAAAAAAATCGTGACAAACTGCTGCGGAATGGGCTATGAACCAATTTTAGGGTTTCAGCTATAAATTTTTGCTATTTTTCTATGTCAATGTTTCACAGTTTTCTCCCAAAAAATGACCTTTCCCTCGACGATCTCGCGGAAGTCGACGCCTTCCAGGATGAAGGTCCAGACGTTGTCGCAGTTTCGATACGCGCGCAGCTTTGTCGGACCGGAAAGTGACCTTGTTCTTGGCCCTCGTCGACAGCGCCTTGTTGATCGCCTTGTCGTAGATGGCCAGCACTTTCGGCACCAGGCTTTCCGGTATCAGTTCTAAACAGTTTCGAATGTTTCGTTAAAAATGCCCAAAATTTTCATAATTTATAATTTTTCCGCGTAAAAGTCACCGTAAAAGCATATATCGCGATATATCGCTATAGGACCTTTTCTGCGTGTTCTCGGAATCCCGATTTTGCCTTTTTCGCAAAATCATAACCGAATAACGTGTCAGTTTTAAAATCGCCGAAATTACTTTGAACACGGCATTCTTCTATCCTCCCATAGTGGGTTCCGGCAAGACCGTCAAGTTTTAAAAGCACCGCAAGAAAAAAAAGCTACCCTTAAAAAAAAACTTCTTTCCGAACTTTTGATGAAGAAACGGCAAAAAAGTGGTCTTGGAGCGAAATTTTGTTGGATTTGGTAAAATACGGTCATAAAAAAAGGGAAACTTGCCGGAAATTGGCTATACTTTGCACCGAAAATGATCAAAGTTCCAAAATAATCTGCTCGATTTCAGAATTTGGATGAATGTTAGCATATTTATTGATCAATTGAACCATTTGTAAGATTGGGAGAATCTTTTTATCGAGTTTTTGATAACTAGAGGATCAAAGAAAAAGTGGATAATAATGAAGAAAAGTTTTTTTCAGCCCCCTGATGGAACTTCTAAAGAAGCTTGGAAGCCCTATACCTGCTTTTTTTGATTACAGTAAAAATTTAATTTTTGATTTTTTTCAAAAAGGTAGAAAAGAAAAGTGGAATTATGATGATAAGTGATTTTTGCCCCGATGGAACTTGACTTGAGGTGCCATAACTCGACTAGAACACAAAAATCACACCTTTTTTTCAATTTCTTTGGATTCAGAAGGACCTGAAGTCCCTGAAGTATGTGCAAAGTTTCATCATACACTACCTCGAGCTTGCGCACCTCATGTAAGATAACTCGCAGTTTTTTCTACTTGATGACGTTGCTAAATGCCCCCCGCCCCATCCAAGTTTCTTTCAATTGCAAGCTTCTGCACTTCCCCTATGAAGAAAAAGATGCAAAAAACTTCAAATTTCTTGGCAAAAACTGACGATCGCTGACGAGATCTTCAAGAGTTTTCTGTAGCGCCTCGCCGAGGGTCGTGTTCCGGTACATGACGTACGTCGTCGAGGGCGCTCCAGGAGCCGCGGCGCCTGCTGTCGCCATTTCTGAACCGAAATAGGTTATATAGCCCATTCCGCGTCAATTTTTCGTTACTACAAGGCGCATTTCTTCGAGCGGCCTGCGCCTTTAATAGAGCCGAACTTTCAAGCTTAAGAGCTTTTGAAAGCTTTTGTATAGGGAAAATTCTGATTCTATCAGTAATTATGAGCAGAAGTCCTCTCTATTTCACTTGAAATTCAAAGAAATATAACGAAAGTTTTTAAGCTCAAGAGCTTTTCTGAAAGCAGTTGTATATTAAAAAAAATGCTTCCTTTTTCTTCAAAAATTGTGATTTTTTTCAGTGACTATGTGTAGAAGTTCTCTCGATTGAAGTTAAAATTTAAAAAAATACAACAAAATTTCGAGCTAGTTTAAAGGCGCATGCACCGAGACGAGTCCCGCGTCTCGGAAGAGGGAGAAAATCGTGATCAGCTGACGAGAAAAGAGCCATTTCAAGCTTTCCATTACAGTTTCTATTAAGAGAAGATTCTTGTACATGTCTCGAAACGTATTTCAACCTTCTTTTCCAATAGTAGTTTTGGTCCAAAAATATTCTGAACTGAGCGATTTTTCAGAGTTTTTTTGAAGGCATAAAAATGCAAAAATAATGAAAATTAAAAATTACTTGATACTTTTTGAGCCTTTCCCAAAAAGTGAAGGCCTTGAAAAAAATATTATTTGCAATTATTTAAGAAATAATAATATTATCAAAAAGTGTTTTAGTGGCCAAATTAGTAGTCAATCTAGTGGCCACTTAAGGGTTTAAAAATTAGTGGCCACTATATAGGTCGAAGTGCTACTACTAGACCAATAAAAATTTTTAGTGGCCTCTTTAGGGGTCAATGGATCAACATAACTGGTCCAATCTGTTTGTTTTAAATTCATCGGTGTTACTGGAAGGAATACGGGATTAAAAACTACTGAAGTGGCCACTAAAAAGAAAAATTGTGGCCACTATAGAGGTGGGTATAGTGGCCACTTTAGTGTCCTCTCCAAGTAGTCCTTGGCAAGCCTCTATAGTGGCCACTAAAGTTGTGGATAGAATTTCTCTTTCAAACCTTTAAAATCAAAAAATTATCCCTTGCCTCTCAAAAATTGGTTTTTTTTGCCGCTTCTTCTAAAATTTGCGCTTTTTAAAGTCCTTTTTGAAGCATATGCTCCCGAAACTAATTTTCATTAAAAGTATTGAAAAAAAAAAATCAAAATGCTTCTTGAACCCTTTCTCATGGAAAAATTCCCAAAACACCAACCACAATTCAAATATACAGTTAGGGACCGCAGACGAATTTTCAAAAAAAATTTTTCAGCATTGAGCTTTGTATGGTTTGATAGCTGTTTCGATTCAAAACTCAGAACCGTTTAGTTTTTTTCAAAAAAAGATTGAGGATGAAAAAAAGTTATGACGAAAAATGTGGCGCGCCGCGCACCATTTTTTTAGTACTGAAATTTTTGGTATTATCCATTTTTTTGACATTTTTTTCTCGATTTTTTTCTTCCAGAAAAAGTTTTTGATACTGGTCTATTATGATGTAACAAATCATAATAGAGTGCTAAAATAATGCTAATCAGCTAGTTTGCCGAAAAAGTCGGTATTTTTCCAGAAAAACAAAAAAACTGACGCTTGCGGGCATCGAACTCGCGACCTCAAAATGAAAAAAATCGCAGCGCACGCGCTGCGCCAAGCTGTTAGGTCTAGCGAAGGGAGCTTCCATCCGCCATACCCTTTGAGCCGTTTGAATAGCACAGATTGCCTATTTCAAAAAAAGAAAAAAACTTGAAGTAATTTAGCTATTTTTTTATCAGAATATATTCGCAAATCTTTACTCAATCTTTCCGTGGATATTCACTTCGGAAAAAAACTGTTTTTTTAGTGCTTTTGGCCTCGTTTAACGATCGCTGCCTTAAAACGGCCCCCGTAAATTTTTTTGGCAAAGACGAATTTTTTTATTTTTATTCTTTTTAATTGAAAGATTTTTTTACTAATAAATTTATATAATCGTTTAAAAAAACCTGCGTTCGACCGCTTTCGGTGTGATAAACGCCGCTGATTTTATTATCTAGTTTCAAGAGCATTTTTGCGTATCAAACAACTTTTTCAAGCACATATGCTGTGGAGAAAAAAATTTAAGTAAGCCCATGGTCTAAATTTTGAAAAAAACAAAAAAACTCGATTATATTCGCTTATTAACGATATTTTTGAATTATGACTTTCGGCACTCCCTAAAAATTTTTTTGGCAAAGACGAATTTTTTTATTTTATTGTTTTAAAATTACCGTTACTTGAATCAAAAATCATTATTTAAAAAAAGAAAGAGTGCGTTCGACCTGAAAACACTTGAAAAAGCAAAAAACGACAAAATTTTTTAGTTCCATTCACGTTTTTGTACGACATTCCGCGCGAACGCATCAAAAAAGCGTGAAATATTTTTTAAACGAAAGAGGAAGCTTTTTTGTACATGTGTGCCAAAATTTATTATCCAGTTCCACATATTTTGCAACTACAGCAAAATGAAAGTTGAACACCAAAAAAAAGCCACTTTTTCTATCGCGAAAAGGGGCGTGGCTTTGCGGTCCCTATATACAGTACAATAAAAAAAAACACAACCACAAACATTCTCAACCGTACAAACCACGGAATGACATTTTCACACGAAAAAAGCCAAAAAACGCGAGAAAATAAATTTATTCTGTTAGGAAAAACCAACAACAAACGATTCAATAGAATTATCAATTAATAACAAACGAAAAATCAACAGAAAACAAGGCAACTTTGAAAGGGAAACTGGGAGGGAAACCGGTTGAAAAACTAAGAAAATACTTTTTTTTCACCGAGTAAAAACTATAAGTTCTAACAAAACTAACAAGATAACAGGTGGATCAACAAGAAATAACAAAAAATGGGCTTAAAAAGAGTCCAAATCGAAGATTCGGACGATTCCGGCACTTCCAGCCGTCATAATTCGCAGGGGGTTCGATTGGAGCACGAGAAGGTCCAAAACTTCGTCGCCGCCGTTGCCGAGCTCCTGAAAATTGAATAATTTTAATAAAAATTGATGAAATGCGGTCACTTTTCTCCGTAGAGCCCTCATATTTCAATTTTTAATGCCGTGTTCAATTTGATTCCGCGAAATGCAAAATATCCGTTAGAGAAAGGAAAATATCACTAAATTTTGCAGAGTCAGTGATCATTTTGAATTTCGCGGAATCAAATTGAACACGGCATAACAAAAAAAAAATCATGAATATCTAACAAAAGCAACAGTCTTCAAGGCAAAGAATAGTGGTGCATTTTTGAAATTTCAGTTCTCATTTCAGATCCTTTAAATTCCTCAAATTTATGATTTTTCTGGTATAATCCTCCCAGAACTGAACTCGGTCTAGTTGTTTCCAAGCATAACAGCTTTTCTTTTTCAATAAAGCTTCTAAATTTAGCATCTTCGATAAAAAATAACCTAACTAATTTACGAAGAGAAAAATTTTGAAATTTGAAAATTTCTAAATCTCTATAGATACTTTCAAATCCAAAAACGATTTTTCATCGCACTATATGAAAATTTTTTTTCAAGTTTCTCTTCAATTTTACAGGTTTTGAGAAGTGCTCTTAAAGTCGAAATATTCAGCTTTTCCCTATAAATTTATGAAAATCATCAATTTTCGTCTACTTCTCTTGATAAGAATGCCTTTTTGAATAAAAAAGATTCGAATTGTGTTGCATTAGGAGATTTCTTTTCAAATATTTTCAGCGCAGAAATGCTCAATTTCCTTCAATCCATCAAATCTTCAATATATCTCAAAAACCCTCGTACAATCGCCGGAAATATCCAATCCCAACGGATCAAGAATCGCTCAAAGATTAGTCCACCACGCACTAATACGCTGCCTTTCTTTCCCAATCCGTTAATACCGTAAGACCGATTAACGAGACGTTTCGCGGTCAAGAAAAAAGTCTCTCGAGATCCTCCCAATGCCTGTTATTAGCTATATCATGGGTGACACGTGGGTTCTTTTTTTATATTGAAAATAGAAGATTAGTCGCATTTTTTAAGCTTGGGAGGCTTGACAGTGACCGGATTCATGCGTTATTAGTAAAGTAGCCTTTCACGTCGACAGATTTCTTTTTCACATGGGAAAAAGCTCAAAAGGAGATTGAAAGGAGAATATTCGCATTAGGGACGACGTTAAAGCCGCATTTTTGAGGGCGTAAAGCGCTTATTTATATTTACAAGGATCCAAACGTAATGTGGTCTTAGGACTCGGCATTCAAAGAATTGAAGCTCTTAGAATAAATTCAATATTAAAAAGACGTTCAAATCCGTGTAAAGTAATTACATTCGAAAGAATAAAGTTTCGAAAAATTCTACTATTCAAATCTGTCCTTTTTTTAAAATGTCCATTTGGAAGATAATGGTCGCACTTGGAATGGCTCAAGGCGCAGCCGTTAAGAAAGAGCTTGAGCGGAGGGGGATTGGAAAGCACCGTAAAAATCTTGAGAAAAAATTCTGACCGTAACGCGTCAAGCCATTCCAGATGCGGTCACAAAATTTCAAAGCGTTATGAAAAAACTGTCCTTATTTTCGCTACTCACCTTAACCAGGGAGCTATCCCGGGCGTCGAAAACCCTGACGGTGCCGTCGATGGACCCGCAGGTGATGTACGGCGCGTTGCCCTCCATCGACCAGACCACCTTGACGATCGCCTGGAAAATCCTTCAGTCTCTCGGGTGGTTCAGAAGGTCATGCCTGTCCCTCCGGAGCATGGAAGATGGACCTCGGCGTCGTCGAGTCCACCTCGTAGACGCACAGAGAGCCGTCGTTGCGGCCGACGGCGAACCAAGGATGCGAAGGGGCCATCGCCGCGCATTCCACACAGTTGGTGACCTCGTCTTCGTCCTCCATGTCTTCGTCTTTCGGCTTCTGAAAGCCACTTGATTGGAAATTCTGAGCACGAAATCTACAGGACTATGAAAAAACATATCAAGGCCAAAAATTATTCTCAATCTTCTCCAAATTCCCAAAAACGAACCGGGACACTATTATCGCCAGGCGGTGGGTACAGAGCGATCTTCTTCATCACATTATCCGCCGATCCTGTGTTCAGAAGGTTGATCGTTCCTGAAAAAAACTCATTTGTCAACTTTAATTTTTTTTTAGACATTGGTAACGCGAAACGGACGTGTGAAGGCTTTGAGGATGACTGGAATGAAACATTACTTTGAAAATTCGCTACATTATCTCTTCTTGAGGAAGCTCCGACATTGGTAACCCGAAACGGACATATCTGGGCATTTCTAGTGACCACTTTAGTAGCGTGAAAACTCTTAAGTGATCCCTAGAATCGTTCAAAACGGTCCGGAGCACGTCCGTTTTGGCTTACCAATGTCTGAGCTTCTTCAAGAAAAGATAATGGAGCGAATTTTCGTGAGATTTCACAATTTTCAGAGTAATATAATAATTTTTTTATTATTAATATTTCATTCCAGTAACCTCAAAGCCTTTGAAAATATTTTTTTAACCAATAAAACTTTTTTTAAATCAAATTCTATAGCTTAATCCCATAAACATTCCCCCCAAATTAATTTTTATCCTATTCCACTCTATTCCAGGTGTTCCTTGAGCCCACTAACCACATTTTAAGGAAAAAAAAAGCGTTCAACCCAGAAAAATGAATCAGAAATTCGTATGTTTGCAGGTGGGAAAATCGCACATGATTTAGGACGAACATAACATTTTCAACGCGGAACCTCTTCCAAACATCAAAGAATAGGGGAAAAAAAAAATTATAATAGCTTCCTGGTCGAAACTTGAAGTTTGATCGTTTAGAGGCCATTTACGGCTGCCTAAAAACAATTCAAAAAAAAAAACTGTGAAGCGTCTGAACCTCTACTTCTGTTACGCTATTTCTCTCCTTCTTTTCTTGAAAATACAAAGATAAAATATTGGCTGAAGTTATGGATCAAATCGAAAGTCAGGTATTATAACTACTTAGGAATCTTCGAGTGGTCCCTATAGAGGTGAGTGGGAAAACAGCCCCTATAGCTACCGAAAAATTGGTCCCTATAGTGGTAAAATCAAGGTGGTCACTATAGGGCTTGTTCAATTTTGTTCAAAAAATGTTATTTTTTAGCTTTTCGCATTGCTTCTTCGCATAGAATTCCTAAAAATTATCGACTAGCACGACCCTTAAAGGGGCCACTTTTACAAGCTTTAGTGGACCCTATAGGGATTGGTAAAGTGGTCCCTAGAGGAGACCCTCCAAGGCCCCTATAGGGACCACTCTGGAGCTCCTAAACATCAAGCGTAAGCCGTTTTAAAGTCGGGCGCACTTCATAGAAAACTTAATCTCAACTTGCTTTTCTAACAATCTTTTTTTCCAAAATTAGACGTTTTTCTTACAATTTTTCATTGATTATAACTTCATAATATTGTGGAACTGATAAAAAAATTTCTTCAGAAGCGATTTTTTTCTCGGCCAAAATTCCAATTTTCCAATTTAAAACCCCAAAAACTGATCAATTCACTTCCAATCTCTTTTATACAGCTGTGATTTGACAGCAACTAAGGAAAAAAAAAAACGAGGTCACTCCATTAAATCCGTCCGAAAACCAACATGACCCCGAAAAAATGGGTATTAACAGGGACAAAAAACTACTGAGTTTTATCGTCCCTCGTTAAAAAGAGAAGATAAATGACCGTTACGAATCATATAAACCTAGATCAAAAAGAAAGCTAATACTGACCCTCAAAAAAAAAGCTTCATTTTTTGATAAGAAGAGAGATATGTCCGTTTAAAAATCCTATATACAGTACCGCTCAAAAAGTCTATTAAGTTTTGGTTTTTTTGGGGATAAATTTTTTTGAAATGCGATATCGATTCAAATTTTTTTCATAGTTTTTCTGAGAGAGACATACGTGTTCTGGCGAAATTTCAAGTTGCTAGCTCAAAGAATAATAATTTTTTTCGAGAAAAAAACGAATTTTTCGAAAAAAATCGAATTTTTTGCTATTTTTCAATTAAAAAAATCATAGCTCAACAAAAAAAAATTTTTTTATCAACACAAAAACATTGTTAAAAACAATATTCGGGACCTAGTACTTGGTTGCGAAGCCCCTGGCGTCAATCACTGCCTGGCATCTTCTCTGCATAGAATTGAGCAAAGTGTCGATGGTAGACATGGGGATCTGATTCCATTCAGACAGCAGTTGAGCAAACTTCTCGTTGCAATTCTTGGCTCTTTTGTTGGCACAACGTCGCTCCAACTCTTCCCAGAGATGTTCGATCGGGTTCAGGTCCGGAGATTGACTTGGCCACCCCATGACATTGACCCGAGGGCTCTTGAACCAGTCCTGAGTTTCAAAACCATACGAATTACTTGTCAATTTTTCTCACCTTGACGAACAGTGAAGTGTGCTTGGGATCGTTATCCTGTTGATAAACACTCCCACGGCCCATGGCTCTCAAGTGCGGCAACATCTGGTTCTGGAGAATGTCTTTGTAGACGTGCTTGTCCATGATGCCGTTCACGCGATGAAGCGGTCCGATGCCACTTCCAGAGAAGGCGCCCCACACCATGCAAGAACCTCCACCATGTTTCACGGTGGGTAATTGGTATTTCGGATGATATCTGGACCCAATTGGTCTACGAACCCACTGAATTCCGTCACTCCCGAAGAGGAGGAACTTGCTTTCGTCGGACCACAGAATCTTGTTCCAGTCTTGACGGGTCCAGTTGAGATGCTCCTTTGCCCACTTCACCCTGGCGGCTCGATTCTTTTCAGAAATCAGCGGTTTCTTCACTGGACGTCTTCCCATGATTCCAGCAGCATTCAGACGTCGTTTCACGGTCGAGACGGATGGCGAAGATGGCGAATTCAAGAAAACTTCCCGTCTGATCGCAGGGGCGGTGAGTCTTGGATTGGTTCTAGACGTCTTCAAAATGTTCCTATCGTCATTACGATCAGTGACACGTGGTCTTCCAGTGCGTTGGCTGTTAGTAGAGCCATCTTGAGCTTTCTGACGCTTTAGGAACTGAGAAATGGCCCGCCTCTGTCACGCCGAACATTCCTGCCAACGTCATCATGGTCAGTCCATTTTGACGACCCACAACGATGGCTCTTTTGTCGTTATCAGTCAGATCCTTTTTTTCAGAGGTTCTTCTCATGTCTGAAAACACGAAAAACATATGGCAACATTATTACTTTTTGAAAAAAATTTAATAAAAAAATAAATAAAAAAATAAAAAGCATAAAAAAACAAAAAAATGGAATTCAATAAAAAAATGCCTAAAACGCGTCACAGTCATTGCGGACATGTCTTTGTATACCGTATATGTTTCAAAGTATATTTTTACATTATCCCTGAAAGTTATATATAAATCGGATAAGTACTCGCTGAGATATCCCCAAAAAAACCAAAACTTAATAGACTTTTGAGCGGTACTGTACCTAGAACGAGAATTCAAGAACAAAGGCTGTAACTGTTGCAAATTGAAAAAAAAAGAATGATTAGGAGAGATATTTGCGGTCATATACTTGCGCTACGACAATTTTCATAGCTGCCCTATCTTCATAAATCCAAAAGCTCTTTTAGAGTTACCAAACTTCTTCAGCCAGCTTTTTTGAACCTTCTGCGATAGAAATAAATTATCAAATACATATCCTAGTGTTAATGGGTCAAAAGTAAGAACTATGGAGGTACAAAAAAAAATTCATTATTTCAATTTTTACGTTCGTAATCAAGGCGGTCCTCTTACCAACTCAATTAGGGATGTTCTAAAGCCGAAAAAAGCTATTTCAGGGTGTTCGCCAAGTGGGTAAGCCTACTTATATTTATAGAAATATCAAATTATTACCGCTCTGTGTTCCAATAACGGCGATCGGCTGCGAAACGTGATGATCAATCGTTGTAATTGGCGAGTAGAAATTTTTGCTCGTACTCGTTTCCTCGCGAAGGTTCCATAGCTCTAGAAAAATCAGAATAACTTGGTTGAAAACTTAATTTCGAAGTCCTTGTTGTCAAATCAACAATTCCAGTTTTTCATGGGAAGTTTTTTTGAAAATTATTTTCAGTATAATCCAAAAAAAGCGCCAATTAACTAGTAATTTAACATTCCATTGTAGTTCATGTTAGATATTTTTCTTAGTAAAAATTGATTTTTTTTTTTTACTTCTACGATGATAATCATTTGATAACGGCTTCAATTCCAATATTTTTGACCGCTTTTTCCTCTCAAAAGATCTGGTTTTCATCACCAAGTACAGAAACAAAGTCCGAGGTTTCCAAATGGATTTCCCATTTTTTAGGGTTCTCGTAGATTTCCCTGATATAAATCCGAGCTTTTCTTATCTTTTTCGAGGAGATGAACATTCTTAATACCCACGTTTTAAGAAAATTTTTCAGTGCTCCATTTATTCAAACCCTATAGAACCCACTAAGCACTTATGAACTGCAAGAAGCCTTTTGCATGAAATCTCAAAAAAAAAATTCTATTTTTGACCCTAAGCTCTTTTTCTATCTTTCTATATGATTTGGGACCTATTTATCGTTTTCTTTTTAGTCTTTTTTCGCCAAAGAAAGGCTAATATTCTGTTCCCATGTTCTTCACGCGACGTCCTTTCCATTCAAAACACTCGCCGAGGCATCAAAAAGTTCCCACGATTCGTATTCAAATCTCCCCACGCACAACAAAACGGACCATTCGAGCAGAATAAAAAAAATAGAATATTAAAAATATGTAAAAACGACATTTTGAAATGTCATCGGGGGGTGTTTTCTGTTTTTCGTACAGCTGTGAGATAAGCAATGCTTCAGCGATTTTAAAAAGGCCGTTTTTTCAAGAATCTGGTGTGTCAGAAAAAGATATTAACACTAACCAGAGAACAGAGAAGTTTTAAGAAAGAAAATTGGAGATATTAGAATTTAAAAAAACTCGAATTTGCGCCTTCAAATGACGAATGGAAAAGACCTATTTAGGCGCAAAAAAAAAATCCAAAATCTGCGAATTTTTTTAATTGAACTTTTAAAATTATTTTTAAGATTAAGAAGAGCTCATAACGTTCAGAAAAATAAAAATCCCTCATTTATTTGCAATATAAAAACTGATATATTTATCACTTCCAAAACTATGATGTGAAATCTCAAAAAAAAACTCTTGCAAATCCCCAACAGTTGTAGCAAAAACGCATAAGCGGATTAAACACTCAAAGGCTTCGAAAAGGGCGACGGCGAAAATAGCCAATTCAAAAAGAGGAGGATAAGAGGAGCCGCCACTAAAAGCTTCCTCCTCAGTTTTCCTCTTGTTTTTGTTGTTCCGAAAGAACAGCGTCACAAGTACGGAAACAGAAGAAAAACGGTCACAGCTAAAAAGAGGACTTGTTCGAAAAATAAGTGAAAAGTGGCTCCGTTGCAGGGTTGTTTGAGAAGTGCTTTCTTTAAGATTGAGACGAGGCGAATTTCCCAAATTTTTTGAGACTATTCAATAAATTTTCAAAAGATCATCTCGAAAAATCGAGACGAGAAACTTGTGAGACACGTCTCGGGACCTCGAGACGATAAGGATGGAAGAATTCCACATCGAGACCAGTCCTCATTTCGAACATTTAGAGACATTTCGAGACAGGGTCTTGAGATTTTCTGAGGCTCGTATGGTCGCAGGTTCGACTCTCCTCACGAAAAAAATAATTATTTTAGTCATAAATTTTCTAAAAGAAAATAACCTTCTGGATGTCTAGACTAGAACTCCTCACAGTCGCTACCTTCTCAAACTCTTTCTTTTAGAGATATGATTTTTCAAATTTGATAATCATTGGTTCCAGGAAAGTTGATAATTATTGGTTTCAGGTAAGCCTAAGCTTTGGAAAGCCGAGAAGCTTCAAATATACGATTGAAAGATTGTAAGTTCAACTCCTACCAAGGTCGACAAAAATTTCAAAAACTGAGAGTTTAGTTCTTCGCTTTCCTTTATAATAGACTTTTTCTAGGTTTCAAGGTATATACGTCTCTTTTCCAGACTCTATACATTCAATTCTTGTTGAAGATCTACAGAAACTTGAAAAGCCTGAGCTGTCGACATTCTTACAAAAAAAATGACGTGAAACAATGCTTTTCATAAAATTAAACTTGACCTCATTTCTTCCAAAAAAATAATTCAAAAACCGTGAACGTGCTGATTTGACAACAAGATCTGTACCAAGACTTCCTCATTTACTCACTCAAGCTGCCATCCGAATAGCCGGCGAGGAGCCTCTTCCCATCCGGCAGAAGACAACCAGCCGTACAAGCGCCGCCGGATCCCGGGTATACCTCAAAATCGTCCAATATTCTTCAGATTTCTATAGTTTAATTTTTAATGGGAGCAGTCAATCAGTCGTGGTTGAGGGGATGAAAAGAAAGAAGGGATTAAAGCGTATTCAAAAAAGTAAAAAAAAAAGGAATTTTTAGAAGTCCTTTCAGAACTGGAGACATAGATACTTGGCTCCAAGTTGAGTGGAAGGAAATTATGAAGATTCACAGAATAATTGGAGTTGTGGGATTTTGAAGCGAGATTATGCTTACTCGGATGCCAGAAAGTGAGGCAAAAATCGAATTTCAACTGCTCTTGTAGGGTCGGAAGTTTGGAAAGAAGATGTTCTCCCCAGTGTTACGATGAAATGCGGTTCAAAATCTCAGGGAATTTCATTTTGCTATCAAACAACTACCAAGTGTTATATGTTGAATTCTCAAGGCATTCTACCAAAACAGTAAGGTGACACTTGTGACCCACTATCCAGGCACAGTAGAAAAAAGTGGGTTCTATCATTCCAAAGCTTTTTTAGCTTCAGCTTTATGAAAGATCCGCAGCCAATATATTCAAAAAAATGTCACCGAACGCTGCAGACGTTTCTATCAATTCAATGACGATTGAAAAATTCTTTTAATCGACATTTTTGACTTGAAGGTCGGGAAGGACTACTATCCAAAAATGTAAGACAAAACATGCCCTCAAACTGATTTTATAGGCTCGAATGTTTGTCGCTAACATTTTTTGAGCTGAAGGTCAAGAAATCCAGTACTTCCACCGAGTATTTGAGAATTTTGGCCGGAAGAATTTCAAAGGATTTTTGTCAAGATGATGTTCTCCTGCAGTAGAAAGTGCTCTCCGTGCAATCTTTCTCAATGTTCAACGCTATTTGATTTTTTTTTTTTGCTGTCAGGTTTCTGCGCAAGCTTAATTGGATGGGAAATTTCCCCAGTTAATCATGCTTTTAACCTATTTCATGTTCAACAAGCTCTCAGAGGAGGAATCCTTCTAGAAGCGTGAGAAGAAAGTTTCTCTTGAATCAAATTTATAGGATGAAAGCAAAGGTTCGTGGGAACAACAGTTCACTCGTTTCTGAGCACTGATCCACTGATTTACATGTGTAACATGTTGATGCTCTCAATTGCAGTTCGGATTTTGAAACGTAAGGCTCCCAGTTAAACCGAATTTATAGATGACTTCTGTCGAGGAAAGTTCAGTAAAACAGCGATACCATCGTTTCTTCAAAATTTCGAATTCTGCTTCGATTTCAAATACGAGTTTGATCCCAGGAAGGAGCCAACAGGCTGATACAAATTTCATCATTTTTATCATTTTTTTTACAACGTTTACAAGATTTTCCCTCTTGACTTTTTTTTTCCCCAAAAGTTTCATTCATATCAAAATGTTTTCCTTTCTTTTTATTTTTCAAAGGGACTAGAATTGAACTACAAACCCTTGTCCAGACGTATTATCATCAATTTTTATCGCTGTGTTTTTTTATCTTTACAAGGTCAAGGCCCCTGTCCACATTGCTATCATTGGCTTCATTTGACACTTTCTGTTTGGAAAAAGAAAAGACGATGTTTCAATAACTTGATCCAGTGTATAAAATTCATAATTTCTAGTATTTTAAACTCATCAGATCAAGTCTGCACTTTCATCCAAAACCTCTTTTCGAACCTGGTAAAACCTTGAAACGGCCAATTTTCCCTAAAGACTGAACAGCTGACCTTGTAGCCCATTAGAACATCATCTTCATTTCAATAACAAAAACAGCTATTTTCTTCCGGGAACCTTATAATTATTCTCCTCGGGTCAATCAAGTGTTCTCAGGGGCGAGGATGGTGATTTGAAGTATGACTAGGTTATAATTAGTGATGAAGTGAAAGTTTTCTTTTTACAGCAAAGTCTTGATCTTTGAATAAAAACACAATTAACAGCAAGACTAAATTGGCAGTTAAAAACTGAATTTCTCACTCGTTTCCAGTCTTCAAAAATCAATTTTCAACTGATAAGAACTGTTATCGATGAAATGTGTGTATATTCTGGTGGATCGGAGCCAAAATAAACACCAAAAAAGGGCGTCACATGTCTTTTTATACATGTGTCATTGTGATTTGTGATCAACATGATTGAATTTCTTAAGAAAATTAAGATTTTCGCTCTTTAAAATGTTTATAAAAAGTACCCCAAGAACCATTTCAAACGGGAAAGTCTTCTACTTGAAAACCTTTTCAATACAGTATTTGCCCGATTGCCAACAAAAGAATTTTTTAATATTTATCACGTGTAACATCAAAAATCTGTCTTATCACCAAGGCAACGCCCAGCATTTCAATATTTCTGTATCAAAAATCGCTATACTGACATAACATGTCTAATTATACACTTGTTGAAGGAGTTCAGATTCCCAGTACAAAGTACACTTCCAAAAAAGAAACAATTTCCGCTCTGTGAATACAAATTACGTTGAATGTGAAAGCTCTTACAAAACTACACACTTTTTCTTTCTGATATAAATCTGAGATCGAAAATTGTCCTTTGGAAATTGTTCAGAACCTTGACCTTGAAGATTTGTGTTTTAAAACGAGCTTCTGTTACGAAATTGAACAGGAAAAAGTGGAAAATTATCGTTTGACCAGTTTCTTTTTTGGCGCAGTATGTTTGTAACTGTTTTGAGCCTCTTCAAAAATTCAAAAATATCTCAATAAATCCATGAAAATTCAAAAGTTCAGTCCCATGGTATCTCAATATCTGTCACATTTTTTCGAGGAATGTTTTAATTGAAATCTCCGAACTCCTCTTTAGAAGCCATTCACGGCCATAGACCCAATCAATTCATCAAAAACTTTCAAATTTATTCGAGAACATAAAGAACTTCAGATTTCCGATATTTTCCCAAGCTTCTAATGTCAAAATCCCTTGCAAGGATCTATTCAATCATCCAACCAGTTTTGTGTCATTTCAATACCTTTTATTGTTCATTTTTACGCAATTTTGCATATCCAGAACAGGAAGACAACAAGATTCTCAAGTTTTTTTCAGGGATATCCAATGGAAATGGAAAGTTCAGATTTCCCCTTCATTCCCCAATGTCCCTCTTGCTTATTCATGTCGAAATCCATTGAAAGAAGCCATGTTTAGCTCGCAGTCACGGCTGAAAATAACAAGAGCTTTCCAATAACAAGAAGGAGTCCCCATTGTGTGTGTACCCACACACACACACACATGAAAAGACACAAAGGCAATACCAAAGTTCGTTTCCCACACACACTGACGACCTTTTTCCCACTCACACGAAATGGCGCCCGCTCTTTTCGAAGCTTTTCCTTCTCCGTTCCGCTTCACCGTTTAATTAGCCCCCCTTCTTGCGAATGCAAATTTTCGGGCCACCACCAGCAGGCGCTCCCTCCCACGTCTCCAATTACTTCTTGGCAGCAAAAGGAGAAAGTTCAAAACAAATGGAAAAGCTTGGAACTGGATCGAATGTACAGACTTGCTAATTTTGGTCATGAATACGCTTGAAAAAAGGTTCAAATACATCAAATTTTATCAGAATAAAGATTAGAGTCAACCTAAAGAAGCCCTTTTTGGCTGTCTTTATAAATAAAGCGAGCTAAAATGCTCAGGCTCAAAAAAAAAATTGAAAATGATTGAAAATCGCTAAAAACTGGAAGACCTAACATAACAAAATCTAACAAGTCGGCCTCAACACAGGAAAAAGTCACAAAAAACGCTGAAAACTGAACTTTTTGTAAACACATCCATCAACTGTTTTTCCAGAACCAAACTTTCCTGGGCTTCAAAGAAATTCATGACACTACATACAAACACAATTTCGCCTTCAAGATTCTGAAGATCGTCACTTTTCAATGTTGAAAAATTCTGGAAACCAGTCTAAAAAGCCAGATTTTTGAGCCAGAAGTTGAAAATTTTCGCGTAATGGACATCAATTGGCCAAATTTAAAGATTAAGAAAGCCTCAGAAGCTACATTTTTGGATATCAGTTATTTTTTTGGCTGTTTCAGAATGTTCAGCACGAGTTAAAAGTCCTCAAACTTCCATAAAAGCGTAAAACTGAAAGCTACCAGTTGAATGACGATCTAGTGGTAGGCAAAAGCCCAAATTCCATCTGTTAAAATCCAGAAAACATCAAAAATTCGTCAATTTCATCTTCTCAAAACCCGTGAAACTTATCAATATGTTTTTTCAACTGGTAAACGCTTCAAAACATGGTAGCAATTGAATGATGGCTTTAATGATAGGAATGATGCTGAATTTGTTCATATTTATGTGCAAATTCTTTTTTTTTGCCTTTGTAGACCCCGAATCTTAATTATAACCGTCAGAATTTAGTTTTTCGCTACCCCTGACAGTCAAGGTTGTTCTTAGGGACATTCTCATGAATCCTTTGCACTTAGTTGAATAAAAAAAATTTTCTTTGGCTTCATTTCCAAGTCCCTTCATCCATTTTGCCATCTCAACCCCTCAAATCTCTCCTACCAAAAAAGTTGTTGGTTATCCCTGGGAGAGAGAGGCGATTCTTTGTGTTTAGGAGTATCGCCGGCCGATCTGTACGGCCGACGACCCCTCGATAAAAGGTCCCTCTCTTGGTCTGTTTTCCAAATGACGAATACGTGTCTCTCTTTCTCCCTTTTTCTCTCTATGTTTGTGAGGATTTTATGAGCGTACGTGAGTGTTTACGTGAGTGTGCGTGCGCGTGTGTGTGTGTAGTGCAGCAGAGCAGAGCGGCCAGCGTAATGTAAAACTCTTTTTTTTTCTCTCTTTCTCTTCCCCTCTCTGTGTCTCTTCTCTCCCCCTCTCTCTATTTGTCTCTCCATCTCTCTTTGAAAAGCCTCCCATTTAGATTTTAGCCTTGAAGCGCGAAAAGAAAAACTGAAATTGGACGAGTGAAAGTTGAAGTTTTTCAAGTTTTGAGTGGGAAAATTTGAAATGGTGGGCAAACCTGCACATCTAAGAATAGGTCATTGGAAGCTTATTTTTTCAGCAAACTTTAGAAAAATTGTGAACTTTTAGAGGGAGAAACTGCACAATTATCAGACCTATTTTCAAAACTAATAATTTTTTCTCCACCAATTGAAAAAGGGTCAAGAACTTTTTAAATTTTTGACCTCCGAACTATCATTTTCCTAACCGATTTACATAAAATACAGCTCTTTTTTTGATAACATTTGTCCACTCTCTTTCCATTTCTATACCACTCCAAGTGAAAATAATGAACCCAGCGATCCCTCTCGCCGTAATATATATATATATTTTATCTCTCGTCGGGGCCGCAGAACACGTCAAAACGCTCCGCCGCCGACGCGAAATAGATGAAGCTGAGGAGACGCAGAGAAAGGGGGGAAAGTTGGAAGAGAGAGTGAAAGGGAAAGAAGACATAAACTTTGACCGGTCAAAGCTACAAAAAATGGGAAGATTGAAACCGATATTTTACTTGGAATATCGTGGAAAATGCAAAATGTTGTACTGTCAAGAGACTTTTTTTTAAAATATAACCACAAAAAATCATACGATTGCATTTTGGAGTTTGGCGCATTATTCTGATCATCAACTAGTGATTTCCGATCACAGTGGACCCACTTTTAGGCAGGAAAAACAGTGATAAAGGAAAAAATGGTTCTCGAAAGCATTGGAACAAAAAAAAATGGACTTTTTCAAGTTTCAACGCTTTCAAGAGCGTTTCAAACTTAGATTTTCAAGAATTTTCGAAAAACCAAAATTTCGAATTCTCAAACTTGCAACTTTGCAACAAAATGCAACTTGTAACAGTCTAGATGAACACCAACAGAACGATTTCCTACCAAAAAGGGCCATTTTTTGCTCTCCATCTCAAAAATCGACAATCTTTGATGGTCTTTCAATATCAATCATCCCAAAAATGCTATTTCGGAACCTTTTCAAAATTCAAATCGTGCAGGCTGTTTCCATTACACGTGCTCGTGTTTTCAAACATTTCTTTATTTCGCTTTTTTTTTGATTTTTCGCCGACGCACGTCGAGGACGAAACACTCAACGGTTCAAATGTTCTTCCCAAAAGGAAAGAAGGAGACTGTTTCCATTTTTTGTTGAGGTTCGGCCCTGCATTTTCTGTTCTTTGATATTGGAAAGGGATCCAGGTCTAGGAAAACATTGATCGCCCACAGAGACGCGTGGAAAAGCTCAACTCTTCAAGTTATTTATGAAAAAACGATTATTCATAGTTTTCAGAACGAGGATTGAAAAAAAAAATATATATAAATACTTCTTTCTTTAAGATTAACTGAATAGCTCTCATAATACAAGCCTTTTGGCCATTTTTCGACGGAGTAAAGGGAATTTTTTTCCTTTTTTTAAAAAAAATCACAAATGACAGATCTAGTCTTCCTAAAGACCCTACTTCTATACCATATGGATAAAACACTTTTTTTCAACAATTCCTTATCAATATTCCGTATTAATACTGAAATTATGCCTAGCATGCAAAAAATCGAGATGAAAAGGGCATTTTCGCAGGAAAAATGAAGGTTTTGATAGTTTTTTGAAAAACTCTTCCATGTAAAGCCACACTTTTCAACCATTTCAAGGCCAAAAAACAGAAATCCTTAGGTCAATAATTCTTCCAAAAGTCCCACAGAGAATTTTTAGGCGCCTAAGTCCCTTCTTGTGTTGCAAAAAGTTGCAGCCGCCGTCCAAAAGCAATTATTATTCTATGTCTGTGTGTGTTTTTTTTTTCTTCTTTTCTGCCCCCGCAGTCTCCTTTTTCTCTTCAATTTCCTGTGTGTCCATTCGAGCAGCTAATTATAAATGATTGGGAGAGAGAGAGTTTGATGGATCGGATCGGCTCTGTGGGCATGTTAATAATGTAATAGTGGTCGTGTTTAATTTTTAAAAAGCCGCTTGTAGAGGGGAGAGATGGATGAAATTTGAAAAAATTACAGCAAAATGAACTGGACCGATTTTTGGGGTAAAAAAGCACTTCGGTGGCGGAAAAATTTCCCGACTGATAGGTCTCGAAACGAAACGAATTTCTTGGAAAACCAGTAATTCCCAAATCCTCAATTAGTATATTTAGGTAATTTTTGATGGTTTTCTTGATTTCTGAACTCGAAGCGTGTTCAAATTAGCCGATTTCAGCCAAATTGGGCCAAAAATTTGGAGCTTTTCTGTGTTTTGGTTATAAATATGCTTATTTTTCGACTCAATCTTGAATCGAGGACTCTTAAAACCTTTCAAAACCATCAAAAAATTCTTTCCCATAACTGAGGACATTCACAGTTTTCCAAAACCTCGTGTAAACCTTCAATTTCCCTCCTTTCCAATAAAACAAGGAGAAGCTTATAATTTTCGATCCCCAGCCAATACATTTCCCCTTTTTCTGCCTCAGAGGAGCCAATTTTTTCATTCATTTCCCCGGAGGTTGATGGATGATGGGTCGTTGCGCTTTCAGCATCTTTTTCTCTCAATTTTTTTTTTTGCTGGAGGTGGCCGCTGTAAATCAGGGAAACCAGTGTTTTGTTGGTGGTCTGTCCTGTTTGATGGGTTTTGAAAATGTTTTGAGAACTTGGGGCAAGAGAGAAAATGGTTTTTTGAACTGTTGGAAAGGCTATTGGGAAATTTTTCTTTGGATTTTTGAATTTTAAATCGTTTCAAGGGCTTTAAAATCGATGAGAATGTTTTTTTGGTCCGTTGCAATATGTTCTGAAAAGAAAACGAATTTTTGAGCTTTAGATCCTTGAAAAAAAAAGTTTTTTTTCTAATTTTCAATGAAAGTAGTCATTTCCCTATACTCCTAATTGAGCGAGTTGAATCAAGAAAGTCAATTTAAAGCAATAAAATAGCAAACTGATCAGGAAAACACGTTTCTCCACTGACCATCGCAATAAAAACTGACAATGACCGCAATTTCGAGGTCTTTGAAACATCCTTTGTTCAGAAAAACAACTCGAAACTTGTCACAGGACGGGAATCCGATTTCCAGACGCTTTTTGAAATGGATACACGTGCATTTTAAAGCAAAATGTCAGTGGAGAAATGACATACTTTCCAAGTTTTGGGTGTTCAGATTTCAAACTGGGACTGAAGTCCTAAAGCTGATAAGGTCACAGTTTTTAAAAAAATAAACAAATAGAGTGAATCAACTTGAGGCTACCAAAATCAAGGTTCGAAACTTGTTGAAACCACTAAATAAGATTTTTCAAGTTTTGAACTTCTTTAGCTCTTTCAGAACTCATTAAAACTCTTTCATGATAAGAGAAAAATCCACTCAAAAGCCCTTTTTCAAAACTTCTGAGCCATTTTCAAGCCAAAATGATCCCTTAAAAAAATAAAGTCTCTAAATGAAGAAAAACCTTACATAAAATCTTATGAGGAATCGTTCTTTTGAAGTTTGAGAACGATTGTAAATTTTTTTTTTAGCAATAAAAGCTGAAATTCTTCCTCACTGATCCATTTGCTCAATTTAATTTTTCCAAATCAAGTTCAAGGCCCAAAAAAATCTTGAAAAAACAGCCTCAAAAAGGAAAACGCTTCCAAGCCCCTCGAAAACCACTCAAATCGCTCTTCTTCCAACAAAGATCGGCCCCAATTTCGTCGTCCCTTCTTTTTTTCCTTCTCTTTTTTGGTTGGTCCCTCGCCTCTTTTTCTTTTCGTTTTCCTTCTTCTCAGTCTCCCGCACGGCTCCCCCCGCTGTCCGCCGCCGCCGTCGCGGCCAACCAACCAACAAAATCACAATTAGAGCGAAAGGAGACGTCGACGTCATGTGTGTCTAGAGAGGGACAGAGAAGAATAGATTCTCGGGTTTCTTGGAAAATTTTTTGGAAGAGACTGTGACTCAGAAACCAATGAAACATGAAAACATGTCTTCACTTCCTTTTTGGGATTAGTTTGAGAAGGAAAATTATGTTTCTACAAAGCCAGAAAAAGTCTCTTTTTCGACCAAAATTTATTTTTTCGAACAGTAAAATTGCCCTTCTAGGCAAGCCAACTAGAAAAATTGGTCTTTTTCGAAGTAAATTTCCATTTGAATATACTTTTCATGCTTTGAAGCTTTCAAAGTGCAGAAAATTTGGTATCAACAATGAAAATCTCGAGCTAGACACGTAAAATCCTCTATAACTCTCCCAGTTTCCAAATTAGGAACAAGCGGAGAGCGTCGAGAGAAGCTAGCTAAAGCGATAGACTCAGAAAACCGAAGAGAGGACAGAGACTTCTCGAATTTTCCCATTTCCCACTTCATTTGAAATACCAATTGCGTAGGACACACTCTCTCTCTCTAAATTTAAACCACCTTGAAGAGGCTGAGAGACCACAGAGAAGGTAGCCGAAGCGAAATACTTGAGGAAAATGAGAGAATCCAGGGAAGGCAAGCAAATCCTTCAATTTTTCCATTTCCCACTCCATGAAAAATACTAATTGCGTAGAAGATCTTGAATTTTTTGAATTTTTCAAAGAGAACCCAGAGAAGCTGGCCAAAATGACAGTCTCTAGGAAAAGGTGAGAGGCCAGAGAAGCCATACAAACTCTTATTTCTAAATTTATCCTCAAAGGGACTGAAAGAACTCAGAAAAGCTAGTCGAAGTGACAAACTTGATGTTCAAATTCAATCTTCAAAATTCTCCGGTTTCCATCTATGCTAAACTACCAATTGAGTAGGAAAGTCCTGGAATTGTCCATTTTTTTATTCGTTTAAAAGATCCATCTAGAAATCATTCCATTTTCTTATCGAGAGCTTGTAAAAGTCTCGAGAAATATTACGATTCCTCGAATTTTCCCATTTTCCAATCATTTAAAACTGCCAATTGCGTAGGAAATCCCTCGAATCTCCAAATTTAAACCACCGAGACGGAGAGAACCCAGAGAAGCTAGTCGAAGAGAAAACGAGACTCCAGAGAAGCCATACACTTTTCTCTCTCTCTCTCCGTTGACCGCGAGAAAAGTGAGCAGGCAGAGAAGTAAGTTAGAACGGCTAGAGTGTAGGCAAACGCGAGAGGCGCAGACAATTTGGAGGACAGCTGATAACGGCCGTAATGAGGTTTCTGCGGCTGAGGCTGCCAGCTGCACACTGACGAGGGGTCCTTTTATTTCTCGCCCCGTTGCAATTTTCGGGGGACCTAGTTTTATTTTTGGACACTCAATCTATCCATAAAAAACTTAAATTTACTTTCAATCAAGAATTTTCCCGAAAAAAGGGATCAAAAATCGGAAATCGCTGCAAAATACCCATTTTTCTCTCTTTATAATCATCCACCATGGAAACTGGTTCTTTTTCCGGCAAATTTAGGTTGATGGGCAACAATTACAACTACATGAATCACTTTGGAAAAAAAAATTGAAGTTCTGAAGTGTTTTTCGATCGCTGGAACGCCTTGAAAATTGGATTTTGAAGGAAAAAGACTTGAGAATTGAAGCATTTCCCTGAGAGAGCCGAAATTGGTTCAGAAGGAAAAAAAAAGATTTTCACAAATATTACAGGGCGAAAAATCCGGTTTTTCGAAATCTTGTAGAAGCTTCGAAAATGGGCAATTTAGACCAGTTACGATAGATTTCCAGCAATTTGAATCCAGTTCCCCACCAATTACAGCTCCAAACTTTAATCTATCAAAAAAATTAGACACTAATTATCGCTTTCTCATACCGGGGAAAAACTTTGGTGGCCTCTATAGGGTTTTGACGTTTTAGTGACCACTATAGTCGTCAAATTAGTGGTCACTATAGGGGTTAAAAATTAGTGGCCACTATAGACTTTCTAAGTGGTACTACTAGATGACTAAAACTATTAAAGTGGCCTCTATAGAGGTGGTTTCAGTGGCCACTTTTGTGTCCTCTTCAAGTAGTCCTTGCGGAGGCTCTATAGTGGCCACTAGAAGTTTCCCAGCAAGTTATTGAGTCCAAAATCCGTGAAAATAGGTTCCAGACCAGCCAAAATCAGTTATCACTATAAGTTCAGTATTCCCAAAACTGTGAAAAAAATGGACTTTGATCAACCCGAGACCAAAACTACAAAGAGCCGTGGTTGCTGACATTTTCCCACCCAATTATCAGACGCCGGCGCAAAAACCTATCAATTATTTTCCATTTCTATTCTTGCTCAAGGGGCCGGTTGTTTACTGGGAATCTCTCTCTCCTTCTCTCTCTGAGGGATATTTTGCAAATCTCTCGTCGCCGTCGTCGTTGACGGCGATGTCGTTGTGTCCGGGTCGGTGGGTCATCATTTGGAAGAGAGGGAGTAGAGAAGTCATGTTTGACGAAGGATATGGGAAATGGAGAGGGAGCAGAGTACGCGGAAATGATCGGCCGTAAACAACTTTTGCGCACCGACGCACAATTTGCGCGGCGCCGGAGGCTATTTTCTAGTTTTGTAGGCCCCGGATAATACAAAAATTTGTAAGTTTCCCACTTTTTGGATTTTTGAAGGGGATTTTCAAGCTCCCTAATCTGTGAGGAGTGGTCGAAAATGCTCAAAAATAGGCCTTTTCCAGAAAAATTTTAATTTTAAACCCCTCGAAACTGATACACGGAATATTTTAATGAAAAACTGGTTTTTGAGCCTAATGAAACTAAAAGTCATGATATTTAGATTGTCTACATTCAAAGTTCACAACAAGCTTGGAATCAAATCTTAAAACTTGGTTTTTTAATGGTTTAGAAGCTCAAAGTTGGCTAGGAGCCGAAAATTTGCTTTTTCAAATCTTTAATGTTATATAAAATCATTTGGGAGCTTCAAAAAATGCTATTCACTTCTGATATTTTCCTTTTTCACAATTGAAAAAGACATGGACTCATTGGACTACTACTCCTGATGCACTTTAAAGAATATTTCAAACTTCCTCAAAATCCATTCAAATTTATCCCAACTTCAAAGTCACTTTGCATCCTTGAAGACTTTTTTTTCACCTCCAAGACCTCAAAAACCACTGAAATTCGGCCCTCAAAAACTGGCAAATAAACACAAAATTTGAAGAGGATTTCCCCGATTTCGCAACGCCCAAATCGCGTTATATTGCTTTTCAATTCAAAATATGGTCGAGAACAAGGCAATTTCATCACGGAATGATGACTCATTGGGATTGTAATTTCGAAAAAGACGGAGAAATATGACTTTCTTGGGAGCCTCTCAATGGAAAACATAATGCGAAACCGCGTGAATCATTTGGAAATTTCAACCAAAAAACAACAAAAAAAGGCTGAATCGGCTGGGAAAATTTTATTTCTGTCATGTGTTATTTTTAATGGAAATCCCTATTCTCTACTGAAAAATTAATTGAAAAGGAAATTAATCAAAAAACTCGAAAATTCGATTCAGAAGTTGAATAAAAACACTTTTCAAAAATGAAATTTTTTTGTCCCTATGTTCCATAGATTCACTATAAGTAAGGAAAACCAGTAAAAAAAAAGACTATCCAAAAATCTCCTAAAGAGCTCCCATAAAGATTCAAAAATCCTCATCCTTAACGAGAAGTGTCAAAAAATTGATAGAAAAACGAACTTTCTGATATAAAATTCATCGTTTCAACACACCAAAAAAGCAAAATATCTAATATCCTTCTTCAAAAAAATCGAAATACATAGACTTTTTGAATGAAAAAGAAGCAAATAAAAAGCATATTTAACAGTCAAATTTGATATTGAAATCCCCAAGAAACTCCAAATATTGCTCTCTCCTTGCAAAACCCATCATTATTTCTCTCTACAATTTCAAATTCCCTTCGAAAAATCGTCCGATTCTTTCTTTCAATCTGTTGGAAAGGACGATTTTTTCTGGCGTCGTAGCCCCGCCGGACAACACAAAACCTCTGTGTTGTCCTGCACTTCTTTTGTTTGACGTGCGAATTTTGCGGGCCCTACGTCGCTCGTAAATCCTTCTTTTTCCCCTTTTGCTTTTTTCTAGGTCTTGTTGTTGTGGACCGAAATGTGTTGTTTCCTATTTTATAGCAGGAGGTCCGATAGGCGAGGAAAACAAGTCCGATAGCCTAGTTTCTAGGTGTTTTTCAAATTCAAAACGCCCAAATAAACATTGGACTATGGTACTTTGATTCGAAAGTGAAAAAAAAGTTTGATAGAAGGGTAAAATTGTACTATGAACCCGGAGAGAGAGAGAGTTGTAAAGTTGCTAGGAAAACTAACTCTCTCGGCAAGGACTTCATTATAGTAAATTTTAAACTCCCTATGGAGTTTTTAACGATTTCATGTAACGACAGAAGAGCAAAAATTGAAAAAATTGAAAATCACAAAAATTTTGTTTCTCACGTCAATTATAACCTCAAAAGCTGCAGAAAATGAAACTTTCTTGCATTTTAAACTACAAATTCAATAATCAACCTTGAAAAATTGCACGAAAATCTTGAAAACAAAATGGTAATTTAAAAATACTTCTAATCTAATTAATCTAATCCAACAAAAAACGGTCAGAAAGGAGCATTTCTAGCAATCTAAAAAATATGTACATTCAAATCGAAACTCCAAAACTATTCAAAATCACCAAATAACCCCTCAGAACACTAGTCAGGACCTCGATAGTTTCCTACCCCAAAATGTAATTTCTAACCTCTCAGCTGACTTTTTTCCCCTCAAACAACACATCAAAGCTCTTCAGACCCTTCAAACCATCAAATAATGTCAAAAACCAAGGAAAATTCCCTCTCATGATACCCTGATTCCACGTTTCAATCAACAGACACGATCCCCACTATCAAAATGGAAAATTCTAGCCAACAGTTTGAGAAAAAGATAACAAATAAGGAGGACCAAAGTACCGTGAACCAAAAAAGACAGAAATCATGAGAAAATACGAAAAATTGACTGCGATAAAAATAAATTTCAACGAAAAAAATAAGAAAAAAGGTACCTTTGATTGGGCGATTCCCTTGTTTCCAATTAGCCACATCCACAGGATTCCGTCCTTATCGCCAGCGAATAGAATATCGGCCGTCGCGTGCCAAAGCATCCATTCCAAGTCGCTGCATTCGTCGATCTGGAAAAAAAATATATAAAAACAGGGAAAGTTGAAGAAACAAAGAATCAGAAGCAGTGAGAACTTTATTACGGTCTTTAAAAATCTCATTAATTTGGACTTGACGAAATTAGAAGGCATTCAGGAATAGAATTATAGAAATATACTCGTTACTTGTTGAGAAAGCTACAGAAAAAATCAAAAAGGGTTAGGAGAAACTGAATTTTAAAATCAAGATTGACAGGAATCATATAAATACAGTCAAGCTTTAAAAACTTTCAAAAAAGAACAAAATACACTACTATTTTTCAAAATTTGGAGACTAATTGATTGAAATTTGACTAAAATCAGACCAAAATATATAAAAATAACTCTAAAAATGCTATGAAGTTGTATATCACAAAAAAATCTTCAAAAATTCACGGGAAATGGAAAAATTGAAATTTTTTTAATTGATCAATATAGTCGCTACATTGACTTGGAGAAATATTTGAGTCAACCTTTTTTTTTGAAAATTTCAAGCCTAATGAAACGAAAATTCAGTCAATAAATTGAGAACTCTGTATCTTATTAATGAGAGCAATGATGAAAAATTTAGGATTGATTGAAAAAAACCAGACTTCAGATTATTTAGCTCTTAAAGAAAAAAATGTTATACAAAAAAATAGTTGAATGTCAAAAATAAGACTTCAGTTTGAAATTAAAAGAATAAACGATAAATGGTCTTAGTTTTAGGTGCTGTCTCCGACATTGGAAACGCGAAACTGACGTTTTTGGGCGATTCTAGTGACAACTTTAGTAGCGTAATCGCTCAGAGGACGTCCGTTTCACGCTACCAATGTCTTAGTGTAAATAAATTAAAACTAAAAAAATTGTCCGAAATCTTTGTTTAATAAGAATGGAAAATGATCAATAAAGAAAAATACAAAAAATGAAAAAAATCCCAATAATGAGGCTAGAAAAAATCACCTCGGCTCTTGGCTTCAAAGTGCTCAACTCGGTCACGACGATCCGGCCGCTCATATCACCCGTGGCTAGCAGAGTTCCACTATTATTGTACATTACGCAGGTGACCGAGTCTTTGTGCTCGATTTTCAGCACCGGGTCCGAGTCTGAATCATTTCAACTCATCAAATATATAAATAATTGAATTTGAAACCAGAAATATCGCGATCAAAAATGAAGGCGACGTCGTCTTCGCCGCCGGTGGCGAGCCAACGTTCGGCCGTCATGGCGATGGCGAAACAGTCTTGAGAATGGGCCTGTAGGGACAAGATTGAGTCGTCGACCACCTGCTGAACGTCCATTCCGGCGCTGAAATTCAAAAAAACTAACATTAATAAAATATTTTTAAATTTTACTTGTTGTTTTTTTGTTCAAAAACGTTGCTGTTGAGATACAAATCTTTGAAAACTCACTTCGAGGTACTCTGCTGATCCTCATCATCGCTCGCGTAATGAACCTCTTGTTCATCGTCGATTTCTATCACCTGAAATTGAAAAAAATTAAAAAAATTAACTTTCAACTTATGATTTACCTCTTCGACTTCATCTTCTCTTATGTGGTGATTGTCTTCCTCCATTGCGTGGGCCTGATTCAGGACAAGTCAAAAAAATGCGATAGAGAAAAAAAATTCCAGAAGTTTTTCAAAGTGTAAATAAAAAAACAAGTAAAATAACTTTTTTAAAAAAAGATGTAAAAAAACGGGACGGGAGAGGCAAGTGAGAAGAAAAAAACGAAAAACTTTAGGCCTAAAATCGCATTTCGAAATTTTTTTCGTCATGAAGGCTCCATCTGGATTTATGAATCGAAAAAAAATTTTTAAATCGTAGCTCAAATATCTAAAATTTTTCTTATAACTACTTCGCTTTGATAGTTCCTTATAGAAAAGTGAGCCTATTCGAAAAAGATCCCAAAAAGAATTCAAACTCTAGCACAAAAATAAACTATATTCCAGACTTGACACGGAAAATTAAACTTGCTCGGTGAAAACATCAAAAAGACAAAATAAAAATACTTTCGAGACGAAAAAATAAGAATAAAGCTTGAAAAAAAATTAAATTGCAGAAAAGCAGGAATTAAACGTTTTGCAGCGAGTCTGGCGAGAAAGCGCCGAAATACCGAATCAGACTTGAATATCAGACCCAGAAGTAGTGAATTAACTGATTGAACATTGAAAAAATACAGTAAAATCCGGGAAAACAGCCAAATAAAGGACAACAAAAGAGAGGTGAAGACAAAATGTTTTCAAACAATTGATTCAAACATGCGGACACATGCAAAGAGATGAGAGAGGACCGACGAAACGAAAAACCGCATCGCGTCCGACGATTCTCGACGACGATGCGATGCGTGTCGCCGAAGGCCGGCCTCCTGGTGTTTGTTGGGCGACGTGGCCGACGAGAGAGCGGAGAGTACGGCGCGCTGGGAGGGTCGGCCAGAGAGCTCGACGGCGCGGCGAGAGAGTGCGACGGCGGGGTGGAGGGCAGCGAGACACGCAGACGGTCGGAGACGCGACGCGGTCGATAGTTGGCTTGGCGCCCTTCGTCTCTCGCGTGTCGCTGCTGCTGGCTGTGTGCTCGTTTTCGGTCGCGCGCGCTCAGTCAGTACTGCCTTTCGTTCGTTTGCGGCCCCTCACACGCAAACGCGCTGTCTTCCCCAAGCCGTCTCCTCCATTCGTTCCTCCGCGCCGACACAAAACTCGCCTTTATATTCATTCATTATTTTTCTCGTTTTTTAGTACTGCTACTCCGGTCCTTTTCCTACTGCACGATTTGTATGGACGCCGTCAACGGCGGATGAGTCCCATTAGTCGCCGCTGGTACTCGATTCTGTGCGGCACGCGCGCCGCTGCTTTCGCCAGCCATCATAGTTACGTCGCGGGAGTACGCCAAAATGGCCACCACTTCCAAGGCGTTTCGGACGCGTGCGTTCGACGCCAACAAACCGATGTTCGTCTACTATGTCCATGAGGTGCCTGACGTGTTGGAGAATGCGCCAGGCAACCGGGCAGTTACTCAAATGCCCACCGGAATGGAAAAAGAAGAAGAAATGGTAGGTTTTTCAATGCAGTGAAGTTAAACTGGCGCTCTTTATCGATTTTCGTTTTTGATTTTGTCTTGTATTTCTGCTTGCCGTAGAATTTTATGATTTCTAACTTTGTAAGTTATCAACATTCGATTTTTAAACTCTCCACCTGCCGGTAGGAACGGGTACTTTAGGTTTTCTTTGTGATTTATAGACAGCTTAAGCTACTTATATGAGATAGGGATGAGACATAGGTCTTGTTTCAATTCGTAAACGTTTTCGCATACCAGTTTTTTTTAAACGAAAGTTTGAAATCTACACTTTTGTGCTTTCTTCCAGTTTATTGGAGTTAAAGAAGAATATATCGAATTATTTGTCTGTACTCCACAATTATTCAAGCGGTTCTTATAAAGTAACACTATCTAAGGGCTTTTTTTAAAGAACCGGATAATCTCATTTAAGATATATAAAACTTTCTTCTCATTTTATTTTGAGATTGGTGTTGGTCAATTTATAATTCACTTTTCATGTTCGACACCTCGCAACCTTGAAAACCACTTTCATCTTCGGTATGGGTTCCATAACCTTGAGAACTTTTTCTTTTAAGTTTTTCGAAATTTATTATTCATAGGTGTCTAGACATTTGTCACATGTCCCTTGTTACCCTAATTTCTTTTTTTTTCAATCGTAGAAAACAATTTCAAAATAGCTTTTTTCAATTTCGTCTTTTTTGTTCCGGTTTTTTTTTCACAGCTTTTTTCAGTTCATATTTAATTTCCGAAGAAACTAGCAAGTTTCCCAAAGTTAAACTTAGCTTCTGATACGAAAAAGCGGGGGAAGCTAGTAGGCGTGGCTTTTGAGAAATGTGTAGAAGTCTGAAAAGGGACGAGAGAAGCCTTACTTATACATGCGCTAGCGCGTATCGATCTTTTCACACTACTTCACACGAGCGAAATCTCAATGTGTTTGCACATTTTCCCACGGGCAGACAGAAAGACATAGATAAATCCAAACGATGAATTATTTGTGCTCTCCCGAAAAGGTGCTAATAATTTATATAATTGAAGGAGTCGCACTTGCAAGACGCCATCGTCGCACAGCAGGCAAGCACCTCAGGTGTTCAAGTTGACAGCCATGTCATCCCAACGCCGAAAGTGTTTCCTGTGCCGCAAGATCGATATGATCGGACGTACAAAGTCAGGAACAAGCCTATCAAACACACGAGCACGGCAAAGTACATCCGTGTTCATGGTTAGTATTGATCATGTTGGTTTTATCCAAAAAATCGATTTTTATCATTTTTTTTCTTCTAATTTTTTTCTGGTTAGAAATGTGTTAAGGAAGCATTTCTAATTTTTTCTCTCTTGTTTTTGGAAATGTGTTAAAGAAGCATTTCTATTCGTATCTGACCGATTCTAAGGAATGTGTTAAAGAAGCATTTCTAACATTATCGGCATCTCTCTTTCAAGTTTAGTTGGATTCCATTTCTCAAAATCTTAGAATTGTTTTTTGAAATAAAGGAAATTTTTCTTTTTTCGAATTTTTCACGTTATTGATTTTTTAACCCTTTCAGCATGGTTGTCACTCGACAAAGAAGAACCTGACTACGACGCCGATTCTGAGGACGAGGAATGGATGTCAAGTCGACCTCATATTGAGCGACGGACCTTGGAGAAGATCTTTGACGTTCTGGAGGCACAATCTTCGGACAATCAAATCTGTTTGCCGGCTATAGCGCACAATTCACTCACAGGTTTGTTTTTTTCCCTGAAGTTTTTTTGCATTTTTCTTTATTGATTTTTTTTTTTCTCAAGTTCTGGATTTCAGCTTACGACGGGTCGATTGTCGATGATGTCTACGATTACTGGATCAACAAGAGGATCTCTGCGACGACGTCCTACGGAAACGTTGGCGTCGGAGGACTGATCCCAAAAGTTCGAACAGAATGCAGAAAAGTAAACTTTGAATATATTGATTTTTTCAAATAATTTATTTTTCTAGGAAGCCCAAGGGTCATTAAGTCCATATGTGGCGTTCCGAAGGAGAGCTGAAAAAATGCAAACGAGAAAAAACAGAAAGAACGATGAAGATGCGTATGAAAAGGTAAATTTTTGTTGATATTGATTTTTTCAAAAAATTTTTTTCAGGTTCTCAAGCTCTCATATGATCTCCGAAAAGCCGTCACCTTGTTCGACATGGTCAAACGACGTGAAAAGACGAAGCTGGCGCTCATTGATCTTGATGCTGACATTTTGACACGTCGGATGGCACTTGCCGACTATGGATCTACGATTTATTCCCAATTCGTCTCGAAAATGCGCGGCGGCGTCGTGGATGGGGAACCAAGCAAGCCTCTGGCCGAAATAAATGGCTCTTCAGGCGATACTCCCATCAAAGAACCCGTTAGTTTTTACCTCATCAATTGTTTCATTGAAAAGTGTGTTCTAGGAGCCGAAAAAGAAGAAGAAGTCGCGACGCGTCCGTCCATCCACTACGACCCTGGACCGCGAGGTTCCGTCGAGAGCATGGCTGAAGAAGAACGCCGAAGTTTGGAACAAGCCGCCGTCGTTGTTCAGCCAGATGGGCAATTCGCCTGTTGTCGAGGTCGAGAGATCGACGCAGGCTGCTCAAGACGCCAATTTGGACGGTCGTTACACCTTCAAGCGGCGTCGTGGCTGCGTCTACCGTGCTGCCATCCCAATCGTTCCGGCCAACTCTGCTCCAACGCAAAAGCCTGTCGAACATGTAATTTCATTACTTCCAAACATTGATTTTATATCGGTTTTTAAGATTCCTCTCCGTCGACACGTCTTCGCGACTTCGCTTCCAACAGTCGATGGAAGATTCCGTTCTATTGGCATGGCTCGTCGACGCGTTGGCCGGGGTGGTCGCGTTATCTTCGATCGGGTGGTCAACGCCAACAAAGGAGCTGATAATCGCGTTCCGAAGATCTTTGATCCTTTCGACGACGAGATCTTTGAAAATCGCACGATGTAAGTTTGATTTTTTTTTTTTGAGCAGCCAGGAATGTAAAAATCGATTCTCATTTGATGTTTTTCAGGAGCTTCCGTGCTCGACTTCATCCATTCGGCGAAGAAGATCCAATGGAGCCTATGCCAACTGAACGGTTCTTCCAACGCAGCGATCGCTTCCGCTTTGACGATGATGAGGACGAGAAAGCGTGGATCGAGTCGTATCGGCCGTCCTCGTCGCGTTCGATGACCATGGCTCCTGAAGTGCCAACTGAGCCGCCCGACGAGGAAGAGCCGATGGAGGTGGACGTTCAGCCGGAGCCTCAGCCCGAGGAGCCGGCGGAAAAGAAACGATCGACGACGCCACCATCTGCTGAAGTGCCCAGACCACCGCTGCCGCCTGTGCCTCCTCACTCGATGATGATCTCACCGAAGAAGTCTTCGTGTTCGGGAAACGGGCCAGCGGGCAGAGTGGACCCGACTCCAATGCCGGAAAAGGTTCTTGACTGCTTCTTTATGCTATTGAATAAAACATTGATGAGTGATTTTTTTCGTGTTTTTTTATAATCTTTTCATTTTATTTTTCTGAAAAAAATCAATGATTTTTCAAGGTTTCTGGATTTCGGTTCGAAAGATTTAATTCTCGTTTTTTTCCTTTTTATTGGAGAACTGGTTGAAGAAGTATTGATTAATTTTTTTGGTCACCTTACTTAAAAAAATCGAAATTCGATATTCTAACTTTTTTTGTACAAAAATTGATCGAATCAAAAAATTTTTTGGACAAAATTTTGAGTTGAAATAAAAATCAATAAAAAAACCTCGTTTTTTGCTGGATATCCAATGAGTGTAGTCGTTCAGATGTGCGGAACGGTATCGGCGTCGGATGATTGGCGAGAGGCCAGCGGCTCTCCGTCGGAGTCAAACTCGTCAACCGACTGGGGAAACCCAACTGGGTCTTACATGATGTCGTCGACGTCGACGTCGGCGGCGACAGCCGTTGTGGCTTCTTCTGCCGCTTCTGCTGCTGCTGTCAACGCCGAGGAAGGCGAGGCGCGAACCGGCGACCTGCCTGTCGCGCGTCAACCACCTTCCGTCAAAGAGTGAGTGATTATTTTCGTTTTTGAAAAATCGCTTCTCTTGCCAATTTATTGATTTTTGTCCTTTTTCAGCTCGGTCGGCAGTGTGACCATGCTGGACTGCACCATGAACACCTACATGCTTACGCCGCCCCCGGTCGGAAGCTGAACGTGTTCATGTTCGTCACCCAGCTGTGTGAGACGTTTCGCCTCAAAGTCCTAAGATTTGTCGACTCGTATCGATTGATCCTCCATTTTGAATCGATTCATTCCATCTATTGATTCTGCGATGCGTCTCTCACTGTGCTTCGATCCACCACTCTGCCCGCTTTTTCTGTCTCCCGCATTTTTTCTTCTTGTTTCGTTTCTCCGAATATTTTTTCGTGACATTCACGTTTCGCAATTTTTCAACGAGGTTTTCTCCTTCTCTGACAATTACTTTCACTCATTCTTCTGCTGTCGTACCCTACACGATAGTTTTTATTTATCTCCCAAAAAAGAATGTTTCCGTCGTCATCAACAAAACGGCTAATCCTATTTCCACATGTTTCATATTCAAAGGCTCCTTCTGTTTTATTAGTTGCGCGAAAAATACTTTTACGATTTTCCTTTGGTTTTCTTCCTTACTTCTTTTGTGTTTCTTTCCGACATTTTTATCCAACACGCTGTCTCAGTCTCCCTTAAATGATCTTATCGCGATTTTTTTCCTCATGTGAATTTACGAGGTTTACTATGTTTTCCTTCTTTTTCAAGTTTTCGTCACCTTTAAATTTATTTTATTACTTCCCCCGCTCACAGCTCGTCTCGAGTGTGTTCGGATGCAATGTAAATTTCTTTTCTTCTTTGTTTTTGTTTTCTTTGAAACAACAACAGAAAGAACCTGTTTTATTTTGACACATCTCTTTTTTTTTTCTCGAGTACATTTATTGGATTCGTAATTAAAAAGAAAAACCGAGCTTCGCCCACAATAAGTGCAAAACTGATGATTTCTCACATTTTCATAAAACATTTTTTATGCAAAATGTTGGTTTCTTTAAAAAACTGTGCGTGTTGCGCATTTGTATTCATGTGTGTGAGTGTGTTAAAAGAAAGGTTTCTTTCTTTTTTCTATGTTTTCTTTTTTGGTAACTATAATTATTCTCTCCTTTTCTCTCTCCTCTTTTCTTTAAACTGGTACTTTTCCTTTATTATTATTTTTTTGTTATGACTTTTCTCAGTGTTGTTTTCTCGTGCTTTTTCTTTTTTCTTCCTCTTTTCAATAATTATTTTTTTAAACGTACGTTTATACCTGTGATTTGAGGATATGCAAAAATTTCCTAAAAAAACTCAAAAAACAATAAAAATCAACAAATTTACTTTCGTTTTGTTGAATCTACATACGATGACAAGTATAAGTGGAGGGGAGAAATGACTAATCCGTAAACTGTACAGAGCCTGACTTTTCGCAGTCAATAGGGTAGAAAGGCACTTTAGGGATAAAGGGGGAACTAATTAAATAATTGATAACTATAAAATCTATCACATTACTTCGAAACCGAAACATTATCATCTGATTAAAAGGCCATCTTAGGGACTTGTTTACAAACCATTAACCGGATCTCATCCCATAAAAAAGGAAAACACGTAAAATTGAAAATCGCGCGGCTGCGTATCACTGCGCATCAGCTGCTAAACGAAAAGCACCAAAAACAAAAAGTACAAAAAGTTACCGAAGGAGTGAGTCCAAGGCGGCCGAGCTCGGCGGCGACGTGACTGAGGTCGGTGGCTGCGGATTCGGCGAAGCTTGACCTTGAAGGGAGATTTGCGGGGGCTGCGAGGCCGGCCGGACGGGCAGGTGCGGGGCCGTCCGGGCCGATTCGGACTCGGCCTCGAGGAACCTCACAAATTGCTCAGTTAGGGAAGGTCCCGGCGAACTTCGAGTTCCCCCTCCGAAGAACGATGACGCAACCGATTGGTTGCCTTGTCGCACGGCTTTCCGTACCTGAAATGCTTCCCCAATAATAGGCTCTTCAAAAAAAAAAATTATGGCTTAGTTTGATGCGCCTTTAAATTATAGTTTGAAAGGGTCTTAACGAGAAATGAGATTTTAAAGCTTTTACAGTATTTTTTTCAGCTCTGTTGTCTTTAAAGAGGAAAAAAACGTCTTCGAAACGAATTTCAATGGTAATTAAACGTACCGAAAACAGCTTTTCGCCTCGAGACCTTTTTTGAAATTTGTAAATGCGCCTTTAAAAACCTTGGCAGTTTTTACACATTAAAAACAAAAATTTCATCATCTATTGACCGAGAGTCTCATGAATATAAAAAAAAATAACCAATTTACGTTTCAAAATATTTCTTGGCGTCATTCTGATGCTCCTTTAATTTTTAAGTTCAAAATTTGGACATTCCAGATTTACGAATCACTCTTTACCACACTGGGCTTTCAAAAAGTCTCTCATCGTAAAAAAAAATTCTCACTTGAAAAGGATAATTCTTTTTGAAAGCCTAGAAAGAGGGTAAATGAAAGGTTACGCAGCGTAAATGTGTTCCCATAAGTAAATCCGTGTTTTGAACTAATTATGACGTTTCCAGCCTACACGAATCGCACGTAAGGAACTAAATTTACCAGCTTCAAATTCATTTACGCGGCGTAAACGTTGATATTTACAGCCAAAATTCAAAAATTATTCAAATTTCAGACGGATTCAAGATTCGCATATACTTGACTGTATTCCGAGTTTACCAGCTTCAAACTCATTTACGCAGCGTAAACATTTATAAAGCCGAAATTCAAAAATTATTCAAAATTCAAGCTCAGACGGATTCAAAATTCGCATATACTTGACTAAATTCCAAGTTTACGATCTCTAAACTCATTTACGCGGCGTAAAATAGGATAGTAGAAGCCAAAATTCAAAAATTATTCAAATTTCGAGTTCAAACGGACCTTCTCCATGTCGTCCGGCGAATACTCGAGTATGCTGGCCAGCAGGAGGGCAATATCAGCCCGTTTGGACGGTTCAGCGGTGAAGTAGTTGAGGAAAAGCTGTCTCAAAGTGCCGTCATCGATACGGTAGCTGTCCGTGTCTTTTGAAGACTTTGTCGAGCGGATCTCCTCGATTTGAACCTCGAGTTCTTCTGAAAAATTTTTTTTGAAAATTTTTGCAGAGTTCCTTTGGAATTTTTAAGTAAATTTATAGGAAACAGTTTGGCCCAGACCATTTTTAGAGACCCCTCCTCCCAAATTTTCATAAATTAAAGTTCTCTGAGGTCTCCCTGAGGCGAAAACTTGTATTATTGTGGCTCCCAGACAAGGTAGGTCATTTTACTTGGAAACTTTCTGAAAATCTGTCAGAACACTCCTTTGAGTTCCAAAAAAGGATTTTGGAAGCCTCAAGCTGCAAAACTTCCTAGTTTTCGAGAACTATAAGCTCAAAGCCCCCAAAAATGACCCTTTTGACGGATCTTTGACTTTGGAGTACCCTCTCAAAAACTAGGAAGTTGAGCAGATTGTGACCTCCGGAATCCTTTTTTGGTGCTTCAAGGAGTGCTTTGACCATGTTTCAGGAAATACTCAACCACAAAGTGAAATGACCTTCCTTGTGAAGTTGAAAATGGATTTTATCCCTGAAATTTCTGAGTTCTTGTATAGTCCGTCCACCGCGACTTGACAGTTCTCGAGTGTCTGCGTCTCTCTGTTTTCTCACACAGGTCAGAGAAACATGGAAATAGCACGTAAACATGAGAGGAGCGTCGAGAGATAAGGAGGGCGCAGAGAAGTCCCGTCTTTTCAAGTTGCAAAAAACGGACTATAAGGCAACCCCTCCTCCCGGGCTGAGTGAGTTCTTGTCCATCTATGGTTCGGACTCAAGTTCAGGTCCTCAATTTTCCTGATCCACAGTTTTCTACTTTATTTTTTAGAACCAAACAGGGAAATCCATGATTTTCAGTGCTTCTGGTACAGTATTTCTACAAGTTCAGCCATTTTTTTTGTCCACAAAACCTCCGTTTTTCAATGTTTCACAGCTTCTCCCAACCTACAAGACCACGAAAACCTGTTTTTTTCCAAACAAAAAAAAATGCCAACTCAACACGGCTCCGTTTGCCCTTTTCGCTGCTCTACTCTTTGTCTTGGCGATGGAAAAAAAAACCCAACAAAAGTTGGACAAAAAATGAAACGTTGACATTGGTAGGCATCGAAATCGAGAAAGGTTGTGAGTTCGAAAAAAAAATATGGAATACTATAAAATTCACTGATTTAGAAAACAACCCCCACCTTTTCGCTGACTTTCTTAAAATATCTTCTAATTTTTGAACGGTTTGTTGCTGTTTCCGATGTTTAGATTCCCCTTTTTGAAAATTGGTTCTGTTAGAGGTCTTTTCGGCCTTTTAACTGCATTATTATTCGTATTGAATAAATGATGAGGATGATGATGAATATTTTCATAATTTTTTTGAGTCATAATTTTGAAAGAAAAAAATTCAGCTTTGAAATTTTTTTCATACAGTTCTTCCTGCTTGTACAGTTTCAAGGTAGAGAATCACTAGTGAACATTTCAAAAAAATTTGATATTCCTTTTTACATGATTTTGCAGATAAAGTTTCAAAATAAATATTTCAAAAATCGAAAAAAACCCGGCCAAATTCCAATGGCTCCTCCAACTAATTTCAAACTCCCGCCAACAACTGCGCAGAAAAAAAGGGAAAGAAAAAAAACCGGACGTGCCAAATGCATGGGAAAATCGTCCTTGGGGCGCATGTGGCGCGAAAAAATCGACCTCAAATCGACCGGCGAGGGCCTTCGCTTAAATTTCCTCTCCAATGCCGTTGGATTTTCCAAAGTAGGTTGGAAAAATAAGTGTGGGGGGTGAAAAATGTTAGAAATTTTTGTAAAATGTGGGTAAACTCTACTAGAAAGGTCATTGTGGCAAAATATTCCGAAACGTTCAAAAAAATGAGAATTGAACGATAAAAAAATGTTTTTCAGAGTTTAATATTTTCTCTACAGTGCCATGACATCGCTCTACTACGCTAAGAAAACCTGTTTTTTTGCGCTAAAAAATCGATATAAAAAACCCCAAAACCGCCAGAGCAAGTGCGCTCCAATGATAAAAATATTTTTCAGCCACTAAAAAGTTACAGAATAATGTTGGAAATTTTTGGAAACTGGAAGCAAACTTTACTAGGAAGGTCCTCGTGGCAAAAAATTCCAAAACGTTAAAAAAAATGAGAAATAAACGATAAAAATGTTTCAGAGCCTATTATTTATTCCAAACTGCCATGAAATCACTTTATTATCCTTTGAAAACCTGCTTCTATCGCTAGAATGAACTATTTTATTTTTGAAAAAAAAAGCCACAACCACCAGAGCAAGTGGGCTCCAACGCTAAAAACCTTTTTCCTCACTAAAGAGTTAAAAATCGCCATACCCCCAAATTTATCAATTTTCCCTCAAGCTCACCAATAATCTTCTGCTTTCCTTCGAGCTGCAACTTCTGGCGTTCGACGTCATCTTCCGCTGATTGCCTGGATAAAGAATGACGTTCCAACTCAGCTCGAAGCTCGCCGATCGTCTCGTTCAACACCCAAAATCGACTGTTAGCTCTCAGCAGTGAACCATAGAAAAACCTCAATCTCAGCCTGAAGCTCCAAGTTCCGGTGGCTAGAGGCGGCCGATTCCCGTTCGTGGTCCATGGAAAGCTCACGGACGACACCCTGAGGATATATCCCTTTTTAAAGCTTTTAGAAAGCAAGGCCAACCTGCAGGCTGGTCAAGGCTTCTTGGGTCTGTTCTCGAGCCTTCTGTTCGGCCTCGAACTTGGACTTCCAGTGAGCCTCATACCTCTGGGCAGAGTCTAATCGCTCCTTCAGGGTCTCAATTCGGACCTGAAAACTCGAGGAGTCAGCTTCGTCAGGCATCATGATCACTATAGCAACTTTTCAAAAAAATTTTGAGAAAGGGAGCTTAGCTAAGTGGGTAACACTTATCTGCAGCGTCAGTAAGTTCGCTGGTTCGAGTCCACTTAAAGTTTGGTCAATCCGAATAAGTCAATTTTGTTAGTTCAAAGGCTCAAAAATCTTCAACCAACCATCTTCATATCACTTAAGACAAGTTGAGGATCTGATTTTGCAAGATTTCTATGTTTTAGTGATTTTTATTGTTGATCAAGGCGTATATGAAGACACAGCAAACAGTCAAACTTTTTTAAAACTTAGAAATTCCAAAATCTCTGAAATGCAAGTCAACCAGATGGACAAAAGGTCGCTGCAATTTTTTGGCCTTCTGAGTCATAAAAACCCATTTTTCCATTCCTTGTGTCCCGAGAAGGTTTCTCATCCAATATTTTGCAAGACAAGACTATTTTTAATCTTAAACGATATTTTCTTCTCAAAACTTCCTTAAAATTCCCTTAACCCCTCAAACCGACCTGATACATATGAATTGTTTCGGAAGTGTCTTCAGTGGCTGCACTACCCAAAGTCTCGAGTTCCTTGACGCGTTCTCGGAGCTCGGTCTCCCTCTGTTCAGCCTCCACGGCTTCGCGGGTCGAGGTTTCCTCGACCAGCATCAGGTGTTGCTTCAGCCGGTCCAGCTCTCGCGATTTCTTCTCCGAGGCGTCAGACTCGCTGGAAACAAAAGCATTGGGAGGGATTGAAGGAGAATCATGATTTTCGGAGAAGAATATTCAGGCAAATCTTCGGAAGGTGTTTGGAAGGTATTCAGCAGAAGGCTGGAAGTTGAGCTAGAAAGTTTTGGGAAGGCCTTTGGGAGGTAAAAATAAGAAAATTTCTGCTACAAGCATTCCAGAAGCTTACAGGAATGCTTCTGGAAAGCTTCCGGCAGGCTTTTTAAGTAAAATATCTTGGGAAGGATTTTGGAAGGTGTTCTGAAGGTAGTTAGAAGGTCTTTGGAAGGTAAAAATGGAGAAATCCTGCCAAAAGGGCTCCAGAAGACTGCCAGAAGCCTGCTGGAAGGTTTCTGGCAGGCTTGGCAGAGCCTATCTCTTAAATCTTCCACACTTTTTTTTTTGCAATTTCCCATACCTCCGGTACAACCCATCGACCTCAGCCAGCTTCTTGGTCCTCTGTTCGGCTTCGGCTTCAAGTTGAGCGCATTTCGCGGCGAAAGCTTCCAACTGCGTGTAGTACTCGACACTCTCGCCGTGCTTCTGCACCAAAGCCTTCTTCAGTTCCTCGTTCTCTTTGTGGAGCTCCTCGGTGGGAGCTTTTTGAAGTTGTTCTTGTTGAACGGCTTCCTGATGCTGCTTCTCCGCCGTCAGCACCGAGACGTCCTGGAAAAGGAGGACTGGAGTGTTTTCTGAGAGCTTCTTAATGGAGTTTCTACTGCTTTCCTCCCATTACTGCTTCGGAAACTTTTCAGGCCTATTTTAAGAAAAAATAAAACTCTTCCACAAGACTAGGGGTTCAGAGTTTTAACAAAGAAGATATTTCACTTTTAGGTAGTGAATTTCTTGAATATTGACCGGAACACTCCTTGACTTACCAAAAGAAGATTCAGAGAGTCTCGAATTTCGAGAAACTCAGAGCCCAAAAAAAAGCCTTCAAGGAATTTTCTGGCCATTTTTCAAGCTTTCAGGCTTCCAAAAAGAAAATGATCTTCCCCGTAAGTTACACCTTTGAAAAGATTCTGCAAGTTGAATATTTTTCATAAAAGAAAAGTGTTCATTCAACGTCACCTTAAGCCTTTGAAAAAATTTACACAGCTGCTTCAAGAAAAATACTTCAAGCTTCACCCTGCGCTTTTAAAATTTTTTCTTAAGCTATTTTGAAAAATATAGGTACTGTTTAAGCAGAATTCGCGTCTTGACCCTTCAAGAAAAAAATTTTCAGATCTGTTTCAAGAACAATATTTCAAGCTTCACCCTGCGCCTTTAAAAATTTCCTTAAGCAAAAAAAAGTATAAAAAAATATTCTGACTCTCAGAAAAATCTAAAAACCACGGACATTTTCCAACAAGGCAATCTTGCTCTTCAACGCCTCGATCTCGGCCATTTTCTCCAGGACTTCCGCCGCCGATTCTTCAGGCTTTGGAGACTTTTCAGTCAGGTCCAAGATCTGCTGCTTCAGGAGGTCGCATTCGGTCTGAAACAGGGAAAAGGGGCATTTTTCTATTTGGAGGGTTCAAACTTCGAGCTCTTCAACTCGTCGCAACTGGGTCTTCTCCCGTTTCAGGGCTTCATTCAGGGCGTTCCGTCGATCCTCCAGTTCGGCTTCGAGTTCTGCGACACGTTTCTGAACAAAATATTCTTACGAAATGCTCTGAAAACACAGAAAAACTTCGATTCCGTCCAAGAGACCCCGGTCAAGTTCTTCGGCCTCTTGCAGCTGTTTTTCAAGAAGGGAGCGTGTAGCGTCGGCTTCTTCCGTACTGTTTTCCATCTTTTTTCAAGAAGTTGATGAAAAGTATCTTTATCTTCATGTACCTGGCTCTTGAGCTCTTCCAACTCTGCGTTCTGAACCTCGTTCTTCTGCTTGAGCTCACGGATGTACCGCTTCATAGTCGTGCTCTAAAATTGAACTTTCAGTATAAATCCTCTCAAAAACCGGCTCTCGGGATCCAAAAAAATCCTCAGATCTCGTAAAAAAAATATTGAAAAAGTTCCAGGAGGCGGCGGTTCGAATTTTAAAAAAATTTTTAAAGTTGTGAAAATTGACAAAATGCCTTCTCAAGCTCTAAAGCCATGATCTACAAAAAGATCAGAAAGAAATTGATTTTCAACTGTTACAATATGAACTCCAGAGCTGTTACGACTACTTTCGAACTCCAGCAGGTCTCCAAATTCCTTTTTTCTAGGAAATACTTGACAAATTATCTTGCAACCTCACCGATTGTTCTAGAGCCAGTTTTTAAGTTTTTTCAGATACAGTACGATTTTTTACCTACAGTAAGACAATAGTTCTGCTGATTGATTCCATAACAATTTTTGATCTATCCATTCCGTATTTTTTAGTAAGATTCCTGGGATATTCAAGTTTTTCCGCATCTACAGTTCGTCCTATGACTTTTTGATCAACTACAGTAAGGCTACTCTTCTAAGACTTATACGGTAAGATATACAGTAATAACTTATACAGTAAGAACCTCCCCAGAACCTCCAGCCAGTCTGCGACATTTTTAGAAATCTTAGCCCATCCACCCGCTCCAAACTCACATTTCTCTTCAGCTCCTCGACCTTGGCGCGGTTGACGCTGGTCGCCTCGAAGGCTTCCCTGGCGGCGGTCGATGAGTCGGCCGAAGTGCTGGCCCGGCAATCCATGTCGGCGGGGACGTTGGCGAACTCGTCGACGTCGTCATCTTCGAGGCCCTCGTCGTCGCCAAGGATGATCCTTTCTAGATTCCTAATAACCAGAACCAGATCAGCAGTGTGATCTCGTTCATGGACCAGCTCCTGCTCGACTTTCAGGTACTGACGCTCTTTGAGAAGCAACTGGAAAGATCCAGAATTGTTAATTTCCTTTTTTTCGATACATACTTCTTGTTTGAGTTCCTGAGTGGCTTGGGCGGCGATTTGCTGCTGGATTTGCAGGGTATTCGTCTGGGCGATCATCTCATCCACGCAGTTTTTGGCGTATCTGGATTTTTTTCAAAAATTTTTTTCTCAACTAAAAAAAGTTTGAAAAAAACATTTAGAAAGTTGCTCAAAAAAACTCTATAAAGGTCTAGAAAAAAATCCCTTTAAAATCGCGACTTGAGCAAAATTATATTATTGAAGATGATAATAATCGAACTTCGGCGAGAGCCCAGATTCGAGGCATGTGAAATGAGTTTTGCGCACAATCGAAAAACTCAAATCTTCAGAACCAGAAGATTGCTCAGGAAACCAATATAAGGAGTTTCCAGTCACAACTGCAGAGAATTATCGAAAAAATTATAGATAACTCGAAGATTCACAGTAGAAACGCCTCCTTGTAAAATTTTCGAAGCTTTTTCTGGATATTTGAATTTGGCTCCTTTTTTATACACTCATTCTATTAACTTTTTCTCTTTCTAATCTTTTCGTGTGAAAATCTGGAAATGTTTAAATAAGGGTTATATTTAGATTATTCATGAAATCTTTGTAAACGTTTAGTTTATCAAAAACGACTTTCTAAAGCTCGTGTCCAACATAGAAATATGTCTGAAGCTCATATTTCAAAACTCTAAAAATTCGTATTTTCAGGACGGAAAAAATCGCGCAGGTATAGTTCCTCCATCGCGGCTGAAAAAATTCCGAGCCTCTGCGTCTCTCTGTTCCCTCAGTGGCGAGGTTAGAGAAACATGAAAATAGCACTGCAACATGAGAGCGTTGCCGAGAGACGGAGAGACGCAGAGAAAAACAGCAGTTTCAGGTGGCAAAAAATGAACTTCAGCCTACTATGAGGCCATTTTTAGACCAACAGAGGAAGTTTGAACCGCTTTTCTCTTCCTATTAAAACTCCAAACTCTAACCCCGATCTCCTTCTCGAGCTCCCGGTTCTCATCCCTGAGGTTCTCGCACTCGTCCGTCTTCTCGCTGTTGGCCATGAGGGCCTCTCGGAGTTGGGCGTTGAGCTGTCGGATCTGCGATTGAAGAGCCCCGACGCTTCCCTCGGGCTCGTCCGAGGGTGGGAAGTAGAGCGGAACCGACTGGCTCACTTCCAGCTCCTTCTTCTTTGTCTCGAGCTCCTTCTTGAGGTTCTCCACCTCGGTTTTGGTGCCGTCGAGCTCCTCGCTCAGCTCTTTCCGGAGCTCTTCGAGGATTCTGTAAAACTTCTTTTGGTTCACATCATTTTGAATGGGATTGAAGGAACCTAATCTTTTCTTCAAAGAGTTCAACTCGTTTCAGTTCGGTGTCACCTCGAGTTTTCAGCTGATTATTGACCTCTTGAACAAGGCGAGACTCTTCAGCGAGGAGTCTGGAAAAAGAAGTTTAAAAATTAATCTCCTTGGGAAAAAAAAACCATTATTTTCCTTTCAAAAAGCCTAAAAAAAAATCAGATTCAATCTAAATACTTCAAGAACTTCAATTTTCCCATTTTCGGGTAATTTTCTCTTAATTTCAGAGCATGTTTCTGGAAATTAAAAATTCGTCTTTCTTAACTTTTTTCTTAACTCTTAAGGATCTTAACTTTTTTTCCCTTGAAAGTCGGGTCCAAGGGATTCTTCGACCGTCAGAGAGCGATAGAGATAACTAAATTTCGGAGAGAGAGAGATAATGTTCAAAAATACTTCAAACACGGCGTGATGAGTATATAGACACAAAAAACTTATTTTTCAAAACAAAAAAAATGTTCTATGGATGTTCATCTTCTACACTTCCTATCAGTTCGAATTCTTCAAAAAAAGTACTAAAATGAGGAAATTTCTTGGATTTTCAAAAACCTTATGTTAACTCAAAAATCAAGTTCTAATATTTTCCATCCAAAACCCACTGATTTTGCCTTTGGAGGGAAGCGACCTCCTCTCGCAACGCTTCGCTTTCCCTCTGGGTCGCTTCTCTTTCCGACGTCATCGTCTTGAAAAATTTAAAATTATTGTTTCCAGTCGAAATCTATGAATCCGCACCACTTGAAGGGATTTGAACTGCTCGCGGAACTCGCCAATGTCGTTCTCACTGGATGAGATGATGTTTCGCATCGTCGAATCGTATCTGAAGAATTTTCTTGAGCGGGAAATATTCAGTCGATTCCCAGATATGAAACATATTCCGTGTTCGAAGAAATGGTCGTCAGAGAAAGAAAGGAGATTTAGAGATCATTTGCAACAAAAAGCACCTTTCAAAGTCTTCTGATAAAGATTCGATCAGAAATAGATCTTATCAACCATCACAATCAAAAATATCCACGTGAAGCCGATAAGGATCACAAATCAGATAAGAAATGAGTATAAAAGGATAAAAATCGGTGCTGAAGACCACTCAAGCAGAAATGGCGCAATCCGTTCCTCCCGGCGACATCCAGACCCAGCCCAACACCAAGATCGTCTTCAATGCCCCGTACGACGACAAGCACACCTACCACATCAAGGTAAACCAGTCTAAGGCTTGAGGATCCTTCTTTGAGCTTGGGACTTCTTGGATCTAGCTTCAGAGCTGGGTCTAGAAGTGCCTTTAAACGTTTTTGAGCTGATCCTATGACCAAGTCTCCCTTAGGTAAACCAGTCTAGGGCTTGAGGATCCTTTTTTGAGCTTGGGACTTCTTGGATCTAGCTTCAGAGCTGGGTCTAGAAGTGCCTTGAACGTTTTTGAGCTGATCCTATGACTAAGTCTCCCTTACTACTCACCTAAATTACCTAAAGCGGGAAAATGCCGTACCTCAAGCTTCAGTCTGAACCTAACGGCTAGAATCCAATCTTTCAAGATTCCTTGAAGCTATCACCCTACCTAAACTTTCTATCATCTCAGGTGATCAACTCGTCGGCCCGGCGCATTGGCTACGGAATCAAGACGACGAACATGAAGCGTCTTGGCGTCGACCCGCCGTGCGGAGTCCTCGACCCCAAGGAGGCCGTCCTGCTCGCCGTCTCTTGCGACGCGTTCGCCTACGGACAGGAGGTATCTACAGTACTCTGCTGAGAGACAGTAACCAATCGCTTCAGGACACGAACAACGACCGCATCACGATCGAGTGGACCAACACGCCCGACGGTGCCGCCAAGCAGTTCCGCCGTGAATGGTTCCAAGGCGACGGCATGGTCCGCAGGAAGAACCTGCCCATCGAGTACAACCCTTGATGCGCGCGAAAACGAAGGAAAACAATAAGAAAACTTTTATGGAGTGTGATATAGTTGAAAATAAAAATATTTAAGGGATACTTTTTGGTGTTGTTCTTTGATGACGCTTGGAGAAATTTACGATTTCTGAATCTTCATAGCCATCCGAGGGCCTCCACTATCTTCTTGTCATTTCTTTATGATTCCCCTTAAGGAGACACTTAGGGACATCCATGTGGCTTCTACTTGTGAGTGGGCCCTGTAGGGGTTAGGGCGGAAAACAATTTAGGGACCGAAAAATAGTCCCTATAAGGGTGAAGTGGTCCCTAAAGGGGTGAGGGGAAAAAAACGACCTCTATAGCATATAGAAACCGAAATAGTGGTTCCTATAGGGGTAAAATCAAGGTGGGCCCTATAGGGGATTATTGTCTAACCCCTCGGCCCCTAAAGCTCGAGTGGACCCTATAGGGATCTTTCAAGTTAATTCAAAAAACGCTTATGTAATCAGTTTTTTCCCATGGAAATGCTTCTGCCCTTATAATTCAAAAAAATTATCGATTAGCATGTCCCCTATAGGGGCCACTAACTGAAACCCCTATAGACACTACTTTTGCAAGTTTTAGTGGCCCCTATAGGGGCTGGTAAAGTGGTTTTTAAGGTTGCCCTTATAGGGACCACTCTGGAGTTCCTAAGTAAATGCTCTTCATAATACCCTAATCTTCCAGTGACTCAACTTCTTCCTTTTCTCTTTGAAAGAAGTTCTCAAGCTCCCAGAAGCTTCCAGATACATGTAACCTTAAAATTCCCCTTAAGGAGACACTTAGGGGCATCCAAGTGGCTTCTACTTGGGAGTGGTCCATATAGGGGTTAGGGCGGAAAACAATTTAGAAAAAAGTTCTCAAGCTCCCAGAAGCTTTCAGGTACATGTAAATCCTCTGAAAGAGCTCAAACTTTCCCGGCTTCAAGGGGTTTTTTTTTTAAATTCACAAAACCTTCTCTTTCTAATGATTTCTTAAGTTTTTCCGGTACCTTTCCATGTTCCCGGCCATGAGGGCGTTCTCCTCGACGAGCCGTCGATTGCTGGCGCGCAAATGCTCGAGCTCGTTGTCAATGTCGCTGACCGCCTCTTGGAATCGCTGAACATCGGCTCTTAGTCGTTCACGTTCGGTTCTGGACTCTTCCAGGGCGTTTCTCAGCTTGTCGACTTCCTCCTGAACTCAATAAACTGAAACTCGAATCACAGCTGGCTTGGGCCATAATTTTGGTTTTTGGAAAGTTGATAAATCACTAAAAACCTACAGAAAAGTTTCCTGATTGCAACCAAAGTCAATCTTTTCCAAATTTTCTGTTTTTTCATCGATTTTTGACGTTAAAAACTCTTCTTATCTTCAAAAATCACAAACTTCAAGCTGTCATAACTCGACCGGAAGATAAAAAATCTCAATGAAGTCATTTAAATCGAGCTCAGGAAGCCCTAAAGTCTGTATATTCCTTCAAATTTGATCCACACAGCCCATGAATTTTGAAAATCGAACTTTTTGACAATTTCTCTGTCTCAAGCCAGCGTTTACCACACTATAAACATCGCCGAACCCCCATAGTCGCATCTGTGTCCTGACGACGCGACTGAACATCCGCGATACCGCATCGGAGCCGTTCGAAATCGCCGCTGAGTCGTTCCAACTTGGCGACCGTTTCGAGGTTCTCTCTCTTGCATACTTCATACCGTTCTTCGTATTCAATGAGGTTGGCGCGGAGGCTGGCTGCAAAAATTTGTTTCTATTTCGTAACACTATCAGGCTTGTAAGAGAAAAAAAAATCAGATCTCTAAGGTTAGCTCAAGAACAACTAGAAAATTGACCTCTGAACTTCTAAAGTGACCACTCAAAGATTCGCTGAGTTATCTATCGGTCAAAAGGTATCAGAAGAGAGCAAAATTGATGAAGTTGAATGAAGTCAGAAAAGGTGGAATGTAATCAAGGGAGCCCTTAAGGGACCTTCAATCTTTCTGAAAAAATAGTCAGATCTTTAACAATAACTCAAGACAAGCTAGAAAATTGTCCTCTACTTCTCAAGTGACCACTCAAAATATCGTAAAATGATTTTTCGGTCAAAATTTCTCTGATGGAAGTAAAATTGATGATGTTAAAACAGGTGAAATGTAATCAACGGAGCCCTGAAGGGACCTCTAAGCTCCATTATTTTCCCAGTTTTTGAAAAATAGTCAGATCTCTAACGTTAACTTTATACAAGCTCAAAAATTGACCCCTAAACTTCTAAAGTGACCACTCAATCATTTTCTGATCAAGTTTTCAGTCGAAAACTATTTCAAGTGAGCAAAATTGATGAAGTTATGATGAACGTTTGAAAAATGACCTCTACTTTCTAAAGGGACCACTCAAAGTTTTGGAATAGGAACAGCTGAATCAAGAGAACCTTTAAGTGTCCTCTAATCTTCATTAGTTATCCCTTTTTCGAAAAATCGCCTCAAACTTTAACTTTATAAATGCTCGAAAATTGACCTCTAAACTTCTAAAGTGACCACTCAAAGTTTCGCTGATTAATTTTTTAGTCGAAAACTCTCTGAGGCGTGCAAAAAATATGGCGTGAAAGCTGGAACGAAGTGAACCCTGAAGGGGCCTCTAAACCACTTTAGTGACTACTATAGCTCCGTTTATTTTTCCGATCCAATAAGCAAATATACTTCAATACTTGCACTTGCACATTCAAATCAGGACTTGAAACAATACAACAAGCAAATTTTAAGCTTTCTCCCTTACCAATCCGTTCGCTCAAATCGACGTTCCGCGACTCGACCGCCTGGCTTTCCCGTTTGAAGTTTTCAAACTCCTCGTTGAGGTCGTTGTAAGCCTGGGCCAGTTCTCTATTCTGTTCTCTGGAACTTCTCAAGTTCAGGGAGAACAGTAGAGACTGTTCAACTTCAAACTGTCGGCTTCAGAAGTGGCCTGAGCGAGGCGATCGTCCTTCTCGGTCTGAAGACGTTCGACTTCGTGTTCCGCGAGGCGGAGTCGTTCGAAGACGTCGTCGGCGCCTTCGGAAAGGTCCACCATCACTGGTTTCTCTTTTTCCGAATCGCTGCTGTGCGAGCTCGATTTGCTTTTGACCTAAAGTTTGAACGGGATACATTTCTCTGTAATAGTTTCTGTATTTCAGTTTTTCCCTTCTCAGAGAAATTCTGTAGCTTTTACGAAGTTTTAGATGAAAATTTGCCTGGGGAAGGTCAAGAAAAGCATGAGAAGGTTTAAATATAGGTGAGCTTCTTAAAAGGTAACTATTTATCATTCTAAGCCTTGGATCGAGTACTAGAGATAAAAAACCACCTTTTTGCCTACGAGAGGGTTTTTATGATTAATTTTTTCTGATCCAATAATTTTTTTTCGCTCACAACTTCCTTGTATGGAGCTCAAGCTTTTGGAAATTTTCCAAGCTGCGTTTTTTTTTTCTTCAACAAACTGACGTTTCAGCTTGATTTTACAGATAACAGTCTCAAAACTTCAGAAAGTTCCAGAAGGATTGAATTTCATATGAAAAAACGGTTTTTACGCAACTTTCTTGTCTATTTACCAGATTCGTTCATCTCCCTTCAATAATATCTATTATAATGAAGATTTTTTTGAGCAAAAAAATTTAAAAAAATTTAAAAAAATCAAAAAAATACCACATATCCATTTTATAAACCTTGAAGATCTGAACCTTCTATCTTTTTTAAATAATTTTTGAAAAAAACCGTGAGTTTTTCCTTTATACTTCGTTTCTTAGGAATTTCGTCGTGGTCCCTACAGAGGTGCCTCTTTCAGAAAGCCACTATAGGGGTCGAAAAAGTGGTCCCTATAGGGGTAAAATCAAGGCGGTCCCTGTAGGGGTTGACGGTCTGACTCCTAGCCTCTAAATCTAAAGTGGACCCTATAGGGATCTTTCAATTTGATTGAAAAAGGTTTTTATTCCGTTTTTCGCATGGAAATGCTTCTTCGCACAGAGTTCATAAAAATCATCGATTAGCCTAATCCCTATAGGTGTCACTAACTGAAGCCCTGTGAGGACCGCTTTTGCAAGCTTTAGTGGCCCCTAGAGGGTACCCTCCAAGGGCTCCAAAGGTTGCCCATTTAGGGAGCACTCTGGAGTTCCAAATTATCGACACTATAAAAACTAATAAACACCATGAAGCTTTCTTTTTTTTTCTCAAAACCAACCATTTCTTCCAATTTCCTCTTCTCCTCCAGCAATTCTTCCTTTTCCAGTAGAACTGCATCGAGCATATCCGTGTTGCTGGTTGAGGAGGAGGCCGGATATTGCTAAAACTTTCTTTTTTTTAGCATTAAAATGATCATTTTATTTGAAAAAAGTAAATGTTTTGCTTTCCTCTTATTTCAATCAATACAGCTGATTCACGGCTGGCTTGAGTCAAACGGAAGATGGGTCTTGACACGAAAAGAAAAAAGACAGGCAGGCCACACCCCTTCAAGTCCCTGCTAGCCGTGAAACCGCTATATCATTTTTAAAAGCACAGAAACTGAAAAATTATCAAAAAAATCTCAAAAAAGTGACCAACTTCGAAGCTTTTTCCATGATAACCTATCATTAGAAAGTCGAATCAACGAAAAAAAAAAACCTGCAAGGACTGAATTCTCTCCTCGTAGGACTCCCTCAGCTCGTTCATCGTCTCGGCGTGTTGCTCCAGAATGGCCGTGAGCTCATTTTCCTTTTTCTGTCTCAGTTCCTCCAACCTTCGCTCCATCTCACTTCTCGGCACCGTATCCGCATTCTGAACCCGAATATTATTTTATATAAATCAATAATTTTCTCAAACCCCATCAGAACCGGCAGCCAAGCTTTTCCAATGGGCGACTTCCCGTTGCAAATCGGAAATTTGTTGGGATTTCATGTCGAAATCGTCCTCATCGGCCGTGTTTCCCCATCCGGCTTCGTTCAGTTGCTCCAGTTGAATCTGAAGATATTAAAGGCGCATGAACAAATTTCATAAAAACGAGTTCGAGATGATGTTTCATGTTTCATTCAAAGACATTATACCCATAAAAATCGCTGCAAAAAATTAATAAAACTTGGGAATTTTTTTTAAAGGCGCATGGACATACTTCATAAAAATTAAATCGACACGCAGAGCCATTTTTCAAGTTATTTCCAAGACCGTCATCCATAAAACTGCAGATGAAAAATCAAAAATAAAATTTCGAAATTCATTTCAAAGGCGCATGGACTGATTTCATAACAATAAATTAAAACGATGAGCTGTTTTCAGCGGTATTTCAAGCCAAGCACGACATTTGAGTTTCAAAAAACGCCAAAATGAACCTTCATTTTCTTGATCTCCTCGTCTCTCGCCTGAACCATCATCCCGTATTTCGACGATATCGCGTCCATTTCTACGTTGGCGCCGTACACTTGTTGCTCCAGCTCTTTCACTTGCGATTCGAGCGATGTCGCTCGCGATTTCTCGATCGCGAGCTCTTTTTCCGCCTCCGCGCATTTTTTCTTCGACACCTGAATCGGTCGTTCAAGATTGATAAGACCTTTATTTTAAAAAATGAAATTTCAACCAAACTGATAAGGCTTTGTCGAATAAAAAAAGGTACAAAAAAACTTGTTAATTGTTATTGCGGTTTTTTTAATTTTTTAGGAATTTGTGCCTTTTTAAAAAAATTTCATCACTGATTTATTTGGAAAGAAAAACAACTTCTTTTCAAAACAAGAAAAAACCCCTAAAATTCTCAAACCTGAAGTTCCGACTCTGGATCGGCAACTTCTTCGGTGGCCTCACTCAGAACTTCATTGGCCAGCTCGGTGAGCTGACCTTGGATGTTCCGCAACCAGCTCATTCTTTTATTTTCCTCTGATCATTAATTTTTTCGCTGAAATATTGAAATAATTGAAAACAAAAATGAAAAAAGGCGTTCAAAAGACTGAAAAGTTTTGGAGGCTTCAAGAGTTTGATGATATCAACAATAAACTAACGGAAGCAGAGTCAAAAAAGTCACGAGACGGACACAAACAAAACGGCTTTTTCGTGACAGTTTCACGGAGTTTTCGCACAAAAATTCATTCCAAAAAGGATCAAAATGTACGGAAATAAAGAGCTAACTCCGAAAAGCCGAAGTAGTATCGAAAAAAGGCTGTTTTCACGACAAAAACAGGGAAAAGTGACGAGATTCCACCCACGTTTCACAGCGCCCTTCGTCGGCGTGACTGCAGACTGCGCAAAGTCCGTAAACTTTTGCTCTACGCGCATATGTTGTGTTTCAAAAATTTCATTTTTTTCCTTTTTTTTTTTTTTTCAATTTTGTAACCTTTTCTTTCCTAGAATGATTCCACCAAAGCTCCGAGCACATTTCTACACGTCAATACTTGTTATTGCGACTTGCAGCGCCGCCTACGGGACTTATAAAGCAGCCGCTATGCTCAAGGTAGTTTTGAAAATTTTTCCCTTTTTAATTGTTTTTTACAGAAATGGACTAATTCCGAACCGCGGTTACAGCACTTGGAGATGGAGCAGTACATAAGGAACAAGTACAAGGAGGCCGAAACGCGAGCTTTGCGATAGGCTTTCTTCTTCCTTTTCTTAATTTTTCACGGGTTTAGCACATACCAATAGGTTTTCTCGTTTTAAAATTGTGTATTATTGCTGCATAGAGAATAAATATTTTTATAGAAAATTTTTTCTGTTGTTTCATCAGTTATGATTGCATTTATTTTGAAGAAAACTTTTTTGAAAAACGAAAAAGCCGCAAAGTATTGCATGGAAACACCAAAACGGGTGTCTCGACGAAGTTCAACGGAATCGAATGTCGCCGAAACGCCAGAAACCCCAGCTAGGCGTCGTTCTTTAGAAAAAGTTCAGTTCTGCACGAGAGCCGAGTCAGGTAAATTCTTTAGAGAACTTTTTTGGTATTAAATCGATAAATCCATTCAGGAAGGTTATTACATTGTTCGCCAAAGGCGGCTAGACCATTTACCACGCCAGTTTTGAAAGGAAAAGGATCTTCGCATAAAAATGAAAAATTAACGGAGAATATTTCACCGCCGTGTAAGTTTCTGCTCAATTTTATGCAGAGCTTTGTTTTTTTCAAAGTTTTTATTCGTAAAAAAATGATGTTCATACGAAATTTTTCGAAAAAAAATTATTCGAATAAAGATTTTTCCAAACCTCTTAAAAGAAATAAATATAAAAATGTTTTATAGCTAATTTCTACTTTAAAGTTTTTTTAAAAAAAGAGACTTTTGGGCCGAAATTGACAATTTTATTGTCTGAATTCTTTTGAAACGAGAAAATGGCTCGAAATAAAATTTTTGGTTGATTTTATTCATTTTGAAGCTCTTTTTATCCTCATCAATGAGTTTCTCTCTTTGACTTTTTTTCAAAAAAATCTTGAAAAAAATTCACCTTTTTATGAAGTATTGTATGTATTTTTTTGTCCCCTTTATGGAATTTTAAAAAAATTTTTTTTTTCGAAGGATCATTTCGAAAGTTTCAAGGTCCCTTTTTAACTCTGTGATTTTTGAACCAAACTTTAAAAAATTTCTTGTAACTGTATTTTTTTTTTTCAAGCCCCTTCACGAAAAAGGACGTGTGAGGATGCATTACTCACACCGATCCTTGTCAAAAACCCGCCGATCATCAAACGAAGTTCCACTTCGATTTTGGTAGTTCCATAGAAGGAAAATCATCAATTTTTGCGAATATTCAGTCGGAAGATTTCGTCAAAGCGACAAATCTACTCAACGGAATGCATAGAGAGTGCAAGGAGAATGAAATTCCCGTGGTTCCAACGAAAATCGATCGGAAATCACCGGAGAAGGAGGAAATTCGAGTGGAAATACCCGTTATTTCAACGCCTTCCGTTATAAATTGTCTGCCGAAGGAGGTCCTGGACAAGTATATGCATTTGAAGAAAATGTCGCGGTTTTATGGTTGGTGTGACGCGATTTTTAATGATAACTATTAAGAGAAAATCTGTTAATTCAAGTCTTGAGACTCAAATTTTGTTATTTCTTGAATTTTTTCACTGAAATACAAAGAGTTTTGAATTAAAATCGAAAATACTTCCTTTATTTTACATGCCCCTATAGGGACCACTTAATCTTGAGACGTCAAGGGGTCAGATCCTAAACCCTTATAGGGACCACCTTGATTTTACACCTGTAGGGACCACTTTTTCGACCTCTATATGGGTTCTTTTCCCTCCTAATCCCTATAGGGATCACTCTGGAATTCCTATGTAGCGGTGGATTTATTTTATGAGTTTCAAACCTTTACAATCAATAAATCCATTGTAAAAGATAGGAAATGACTTTTTTGCTCATCTGGGAAAATTTTTAGTGGCCACTATAGTAGTCAAATTAGTGGCCACTTGAGGGGTTAAAAATTAGTGCTACTATTAGGTCACTAAAAATTTTAGTGACCACTTTAGGGGTCAATGGATCAACATAACTAGTCCAATCTGTTTGTTTTAAAATTATCAGAGTTGCTGGAAGGAATACTGAATGAAAAACTACTTAAGTGGTCACTAATTAGAGAACCTCTATAGTGGCCACTAAAACGGAAAATTGTGGGCACTGGAGGTGAGTTTAGTCGTCACTTTAGTATCCTCTCCAATAATCCTTGGCCAGCCCCTATAGTGGCCACGAAACATTTTCCCAGATTTTCCTAGTTTTATTTGAAGATATCCATGTCAGGTCCGAATATCCTTATTTTAGACTGGCAAGTCGAATGTCTGGCCGATCCGAGGCTTCTCCGTGGTACAAATTGTATTCTTTCATTACCCACCGGTGCCGGTAAAACCCTGGTCGCTGAGGTACTTGTAAATTTGAAACAGCTTGAAAATTCACCGGCTAGTCTTTTTCATGAATGGCTGTTAAAATAAAGTAAGATTGAGGAATTCTTTTTATTGTGTTTAAAGGGACATAGACCTGTTAATTAAAGGTCTTGAAGCGAAAAATAGTTTTTAGTGCTTCTTCGAGGTCATGTTGACTTTTATGAACCCTAGCAAGAGGATTAAATGGCAATTATCCGGAAAAGTAACGTTTTTACCTAGGTTTTGATGCTCCGAGAAGCGATCGTGAACCGTAGAAACGCTCTGTTGGTCCTGCCATATGTTGCGATTGTACAGGAAAAGGTAAAAAATACGGGGTGACTTTAGAAGAAAAACGGAAAAAGGTCGAAAAAAGCCTGTACAGATTTGAATATCAAGTCCAATGACGTCATTCGGAAAGGCTCTGTGAATGGCTCGCTTTTTGATTGGTTTGCTGAGCCATTAAGGGCGGAGCTTGAGCGACGACTTGAAATTCAAAATCTGAGCAGACTATATAGTTTGTACAGAATTTTCAAGTACAATGACATCATTTGGAGAGGCTTTGTGAATGGGTGGACTTCCTAACCATGGCTGAAATTTGGCAGATAGTTTTTTTTTGTTTTGTTCCGATGCTTAGAAGCCTTGAAACTTCAAGTTAAAGGAAACGTGACAAAGTAGATTGAAGAGGTCACTTAAGAACACTTAGCAGCCCTAGAGGGAACCCTTGAATCTTTCAGTCGTCAAATTAGCTTTGAACACGCCATCAAAGTTTTTTCCGGGTTTGAACGTCAAGCTCCGCCCCTAATCAACCAATCAGAGAGCAAGCCGCCCACAGAGCATTTTCGAATGACGTCATTGGACTTGACATTCGAAATCTGAACCAAAAGAATTTTCTAACCAAAAAAAAAAGCTAGAAATTAAGATATCAGCCCTGGCTCCGTTCGAAGAGACCTTTGGGATCAGTATCGAAGAGTATGCGGCTAATAAAGGTGAAGCTTTTTGGCCGCACTTGGAATGGTTCAAGCGTCGAAATTAGAGTGGAATCGGGTATTAAGCTGATTTAGACAGGCGAGAGCCATCAAAAAAGGGTCCTGACCCGATAAGAAAGAGATAGTGCTTAATTTATGGAGAGCGCAGACAGGCCACGCCCCCTCAGCGTCCCAAGTTAACCGTGAATCGGCTATACAGGCGTTCTAGTGAACTTTGCTCTGTTAAAACTTTGAGTTGGTTTTTTTTTTGATTTACGCGCAAGTCGTTTCTGGTCGGTCGCGTCAAGCATTTTCATTTTTAAGCTGACTTTTTCCGAGTTCTACTCACAAATCATTAATGAGTAGTTTGAAGGGCGCTTTTGCGATTACTCCCCTATTTCAACTTGTTGAATCCTATTTCTTTTGAAAAACAAAATTATTCAGGGAGATTCCCACCGATTAAAAGGCGCCAACGCGTCTCCGTGTACGTTGCCACCATTGAAAAAGTTGACTTTTTGAATTTTCTCAGTAAAAGTTTTATTTTAGGCCAACATGTTAATAAACTCCCTGGTTTCTGAAGGGAAATTGGACGATTTGGGGCTCGTCGTAGTGGATGAGGTTGGTCATCCAAGCTCATAACATTTTTTTTTAAATCTCTGATTGGCTGGCTCCGCCTTCTTTTTTCCTCTAGTCAATCCCAGAAGATGTTCGTTGGAGCGAAGTTGACCTGATTAGCTTGAAATGAAAAATATAAATCATTTCGGAAGAGACGTGAATGAAGTTGGTCGAATTTCCAGAAGCTAGAGAGCACTGATAAACCAGAGAGGTTAGAGAAAAAAAATACACGAACTCTCATTTTTGAACGCTCTCTAACTTTAGATAGCTAGACGGATTTGATAGACAAGAGAGGGTTTAGAGTAAAAAAAAAAGCGCACCCTCTCAATTTTGAACGCTCTCTAAATTTTGGAAGCTAGAGAGCACTGATAAACAAGAGAGTGTAGAGAGAAAAAAAGCGCACCCTCTCATTTTCGAATGCTCTCTAACTTTTGAAAGCGAGAGAGCACAGATAAGCAAGAGAGAGTTTAGATAAAAAACACTCACTCTCTCAAATTTGAACGCTCTCTAACTTTCGAAAGCTAGATAGTAGTGGTAAATAAGAGGGTTTAGAGAAAAAAAAATCCTTTCCATCTTCTAAAGCTGTATCACTTTCTAAAGCTAAAGAGCAGTGGTAAACAAGAGGGTTTAGAGAAAAAAAAAAACTATGTGCCCTCTCAATTTTGAACGCCCTACCACTTTAGATAACTGGAAGACACTGAAAAAAGGGAGAGTTTAGAGAGAAAAAAAACATTCTCTCAATTTAAAACGCTCTCTAACTTTCGAAGATTCAAACGTATGAAGTTAAGCTTCACATGATTGGCGACGGTGATCGAGGCGCAACTATAGAACAACTCTTGTCGAAGTTCTTATTCAAAGGTTTTTTTTATTTTTTTATTTTTTATGTCCCTTAATTTTAGGAAGCGGTCAGGTTGTTGGCATGTCGGCTACCTTACCGAATATGGAACAATTATCGGCTGCCTTACGGGCTTTTGTTTACTCGACTGACTTTCGACCGGTTCAGTTTTCGATAATAATAACTATGGGAGTTCAGTTTGTTCCAGAAGTGTAGATGAAATTAAAAAACTGGGTCAATTGAGCCTTCTCAGACCTCGGTAACGCGTCCCGGACTTTTCTAGGGCTCACTTTAGCGCCCTCAGCTCTTTTTAGTGGACCCTCTAGTGAATTTTAAAAGAAGCCCGGCCAGTTTGCGTTATAGTCTGTTCAGATTTTGAATTTCAAGTAGAATGACGTCATTCGAAAACGCTCTGTGGATGACTCGCTCTCTTATTGGTTTATCGCGCCATTAGGGGGCGGAGCTTGAGTGAGGACTTGACATTTGAAATCTGAACAGACTATACCGTTGCCCGACGTGATACAAAGGATATGTTTTTATGGGCCCGGGTTACGACTAAAATAAATATTGGATGGTAGTTTTGTCCATGTGAAGTTGCTTTGAAGTTAATTTATCAGAAAATTGACCTTGAGAGGCTTCAAAATGGATCTGAGGTTGAGCAGTTCAGATTTAATATAATAACGAGACCAAAAAAGAGTCCTATAAGCGTATAGAGCTGTGAAAAATCTCGTATATCTTAGGAAAAGAATTTAGGTGGCTCTGGTGGAATACGTCAAAATTGGGCGGACAATGTGGAAGGTTCTGCCCGGCGGGAGGCTGGTTTTCGACGCGGATCTGCCCGATAATGTTGGAATTTTTTACTGAAAAATTACTTGAATTGAAAAAGGAAAAAAACCTTGAAAAACTGAGAAACTTTGAAGGGGTCTCTATAGGGATCCCTCCAAAATTACGTAAAGTAGCTTTTGGGCGATCGGTGATTGAAGGCGCAAGGAGAAATGTTCAAAGTATCGTGTCACGAAAATTACAACAATTATCTAAGAGTTCCTAACGTTTTTAAATATTTTCTGACTTATTGTAGAGCTTTACATGTCGTTGCGGGTTTTTTGAAGCCTTTATAGGCTCCTTTGCCAAAAAATCTTTTCCAGAAAAACTCAAAATTAGACCCCGACGGTGTCTGTCAACTGCTCCAAAGCCTTCTGCCCAACAAATCGGCCATAATTTTCTGTCCCAACAAGAAGAATTGCGAAAATGTGGCCCTTCTCATTGCAAACTCGCTTCCACCGTGAGACGGATTTCAAGAAGGATTAAAGAATTTTCAGAAAATTTCAGGTCTTTACGGGAAAAGAACGCTTTGGAGAAGAAGAAGCTGGTGGCGAGCATCTACGAGGACAATGATGGCAAGGTTTGGTCAGAAATCAATATTCTTCATCTTCCAACGAATTAGTACCTCCTGATGGTAAAGTTGATAGGACAAGATCCTTTCCTGATATCACTGATGATATCTGGTTCTAGTGATCTATCCGTCTTTTTTTGAAGTGGTTTCCCACGACCTATATTTCTTAAAACTTGGGTCGCGACGGGGATCGAACTTGTGACCCTGCAAACCGTAGACAGGCACACAACCTGTTGCGCTACGGCGCGCCGCCTCATCCCAACTCTTCAATGAAAAAACTGAATTCTGTATGAAGGGAAACTGGCACCTATCCGACCTTGTAAGGGATTTAAAGCCGTAGTTACACATTACCAACATTCCTTAAAATTATTGCTTTTGTCGCCGCGGGGATTGAACTTTTGACCATGTGGACTGTAGGCAG